TGCGCTGATTTAGAGTCTTTTCTCTTGGTGCTTGAGCACAGGGGCTCGGTCGGTCGGCTTCACATGCGTACGTCTCGACAGCAGTTGATGCCATTGCCTGTGGTAAAATAGACTTGGATGCGACACAGCTCTACGTGAAAACGAGAATTTAGCGCGTTGTGCTGCGTGTTGTTGCAGATTAATGTCTGTGGTTTCCTGAGTTGGTTGTTGTTGAAGTGGGTCGAAAGACGAGGTGCTGGTTGCCAAAAGAGCTTTTGCGTCCACGCAACTGGATAGGGAGGTTGGATCGCACTTGATGAGTCCTGAGGTTGGCCGCATCGCCTCCTGCGATACTCTGTGAAGGAAGGAAGTGCTATCCCTGACAAGCCGTGCTCCCATCTTGCGTCCGATCCAGCCAAGGTGATGGCGCAACATGCCGAATTCAAACCACTATTTTCGGCATCAATATGGGACGTTCCGAAATACGCGCTTCGGATTGGTGGTATTATAGTCGTCCCAGACAAATGACATGGCGAACACAAATCGCTTTGCATCAAAATTATCATAGCTACAATCAACGGGACTCCTAGGTAGAATTAACTCATTAGTAGGTAAAGTCTTACCTGTGAAATTTTACATTTCACAAAATAGACGTGATGAAAACACAGAGTATGATACCACTGAGTTATACTTCTCTGTAAGGCAGATCGGGGTGATTTCCGTGGAGCCACTTTCTGAATTTTACCTACTAATGAGAATTCTCCCACCAATGCATTTACTTCAACCCAGCCCTCACTCCTTCTCCCACCTCGTAAACAAAGAGACGTACCGTCGACTTGCAAATAAAGAACTCCCCAACCCAGCTCTGTGCTAACGTTGATCGAAGCACGAGCAACGCGGCATCAACGATAGAACTCTACAGCGTTCGGTCTGTCCCTCGCTGACCCGAAAAAGGCAACTCATTCACAGCGGTGTGCAACTCAATAAAATAAGCAAGCTACTGGGGGTGACTGCATCGTTCTAGCGCTAACCTTAGCGCTACTTGGGATGCGATGGTACGCACTGAGCAACTCACGAAGAAATTTGGCGCTCACTCGATCATACGTCAGCTGAATCAACGACGAGATGACTTCAGAGAACTGATGGTGCTGTTATTCGTATCAACCCTCGCAGCCTCGTCGATACTATAAGCATATCAGCGACGAGATGCCATCGTCTTCCTTCTATTTTCAACGAATGTTAGCCGCCGCCACCATCACTCGCCACGCTACCAAGGCCATGTTGTCGGTCGAATCGTCACAGGACCTGTAGTGGCTTTGGGCGGCTGGCACTGAATTTACCGTACGCCACACAGATTTCCGCAATTCCAACTGCCACGACAATAAAAACATTGGAAAGCATACATTTTCTAGTTGATTTTATAATTTTGCCTCCTTCCGGGAAAAGCCGCTGTGGTAAACGCCACATGGTGGCGCAATTTCAGCGCACGCGTGAGGGCAGACTAGCAATTCACGCATGGTGCTGCCGCTGCCACCCGACTTCTTCGAGTGCCCGCCACTGGCGCCGCACGAGACGTCGGCGCTGCTCGCGCTCGCCCAGACCATCTGCCAGGAGACTGTGCAGAACGCGCTGGTCCTGGACGCGCAGCCCATCTGGGCAACGATCGCCAACCCAACGACGCGCCGCCGGGCCCGGGTACGCCGCCGCCGCCAACGACCATGATGGCTCATGCGATGCGTAGCTGCGGCGCGGCCACGACAGCGTAGACGCAGCGCGCGATGCGATGAGCTGCTACACACAGGTTCGCGCGACGCTCGAGGACGTGGCCAATGTCTTCCACTGTCGCTCGACGCTGGAGCTGCGGACGTTTGGCCGCGTCCTTGGCAAGAGCATCCTCGACAAAGTCAACTTGTACACACTCGTGGACCGGCCGGTCGCGCGCGGCAAGGTGCCACACCCACTGCACTACGTGGGCGTCGAATGGGCCGCGATCGACGCGCCGCTCGGCTTTGCGACCCGCGACCTCTGCTACCTCGAGGTAGACAGCGTGCATCCTCGTCGTCCATGACTCATGGACGATGTTGCAGGCGCACGACGAGTTTGAATTTGTCGACACGCGCAACCGCAAGCGCCGGGGCTGGGTTCGAGCGATTCACTCGATCGAGAACGACGCATGTCCCTCGCTGCACAAGGCCCACGGGCTCGTGCGCGCTTCCATCTACCGCGTAGGCTTCTCGCATCTTCATCCTGAGAAGATGCTCATGCTGTTGCTGTTTCGATAGTCGGGCCATGTCTTTATCGAGTCGGAAAGCAATCCCGAGATGCTCGACTACTACAACGTGATCGTGGCCGACCCGCGCGGGCAGTTTGTACCGCGCTCCGTGACCCAGCGCTGCATGAAGGCCCACGTCAGCCAGGTATTTTTCGCATTTTTGAAATGCTATCTCACAATTTGCGAAACAGGCGCTGAATCTGGAAGAACACTTGTTCATTTTGCGTCTCCATGCCGAGAGCCAAACGACCAACACGAGCATGTCGTGGAACACGGCTGTGACCTCCTCCATCAAGTCGACTGCGTTTTGCGCCTGCTGCGACGCCAAGTTTGGCCTCTTCCTCGGGCGCAGGACGTGCGACCAGTGCAATCGAATGGTCTGCAAGGCGTGCTCGGGGCGCTGGACGAAAGCGACCGGCGCCAAGCCCGTGACTGTCTGCATCTGCAAGCTCTGTTCCAAACGCCTTGGCGACCCAGAGCCCGTGCCATTGGGGAATGTGACCCAAGCGCTGCCGGCCGCGACGCAGTACAACCTCCGGTCGACGCGGGTGCCGGCGCCCCGCAGGCCGCCAGTGGCGCGCAAGCCGGTACCAGCGCCGTCGGACGATGGCGGCAACGACTCGGACGTCATCATGCTCTGGGACGACGGCCAAGCGTCCAAGCGCGATGGCACATTTACGTTCTTGTCGTCGTCCACGTCGCTCCACCATACGCTGCGGTCGAATGCGTCCGGGTACCAGAGCACGTTTTGCTCGTACCAGTACTCGGACGACGGCGCGCCACGCGTGGTCAAGACGGTCGTGGCACCGCAAAGCACCGTGGACGTCGATGCAACGCTGCCTCTCGTGTCGCCAGCCCACTCGGACTATAGTGAGGTGTTTGATGCCGTCTTGGAGTTTGTCACAGCGCACGAACTCGAGCAAGCAAGGACCCGGAGCGTGCCATAGGAATTAGTATACGCAGTCGTGATAAGTTAAAAATATCGGTCGCCATGTATTATGTATTCGTCGTGAGTTGGAACGTTGATAGCGATGGCTCATATGATCGGTCATTGTCGGTATCGACGCGCTTGAAACTCAAAACTCAACCTCAAAATTCCATTGCTGCGGATGCTAAGCCCTCCATCGTCATAATTGTCGATGCTTCATCCATTCGAACGGTCTTGGACGCGACTATGAACCCAGCATCTCGCCGTCTCGCCATCACTGGGCCACACGCCGATAAACCACACTATTTTATAGGGATCAACACTATTGTCGAAGTATCAGTTTACTATTTCATTTGTAAACACTATTTCACGTCGGAAAGGTAAAAGTGGCATCTGCCGCGCCACAGTAGTGCGTGCACTTTTTATTTGCAAATGAGTTGGAGTCCCGCTGCGAAGGGCCTCGCGAGTTTGCCGTTTGTGGCCGTCGCGGGCTGGGCCGGCCTCGTGCAGCTCGAGCGCTCCAAGGCCAACCACCCGCCGCGCGGCTATGCGTTTATCACGGGCTCGATGGACGACATGGTTATGGACACGTTGCAGACCGGCGACCTCGTCTTCTTCAAGCGCAACTGCGCATACCTTCCGGTCTAGCATGGATGCGATGCGTAGTCTCATGCTTCCTTTGCTTTGTAGCCAAAGGATGGGCTGAGTTGCTTCTTATCGTCGCGTGTCGAGGCGTGGCAGGCGCGCTACAACCACGTTGGCTTTATCCTTGTCGACCGGCTCGGCGAAAAGTTCATTGTTGAAGAGACGTACGCCGGCGTCAAGTGCCGGCCGTACAGCGCCCGCATCCTCACGTCGCTCTCGACTGAGATTGTCGTCGTGCCACTCAAAGTCAAGGTACGGTCTTCCGATGCTTGGACGTGAAACGGACTTTGGTGCAGCGGACGATCGCAATGCAGCAAGCTGCCAACCAGTTCGTGCAAGAAAATGTCAACCGGCCTTCGCGCTTTACACTGCAGCACGTACTCGAACAGCTCTCGTCGTCGTCGACGTCGGGCAGCTCGCCCGTTCATCCGTCGGCCGGTGCGTAGTCGCCGTTGGGCGGGATGATGGATGGTGCTAAATGTGTAGGACTCGTCGCCGAGGTGTACGCACGCATGGGTCTCTTGCCAGCGCAGACGACGCCAGGCTACCTTCACCCCTCGTCGGCCACGATCAAGGTCCGTCGCCCACATCTTCTCGGATGCCCGCTCAGGACGATGTGACATTTCTAGGACTGGAGTGCGTACCGCCGCGTGCAGCTGCTGCAAGACGCCGAGCTGAGTCAAATGCTCCCGATTCGCCTCTTGTAATAGCCGCCATCGATAGTCGGTGAGAAAAAATAGCAGAAAAATGCATTGCTACCGACCTCAACTACTCGATGTACCATTGTTCAAACATCGACTTCGGCGCTAGGACGTCGGGTGGCTTGGCGCGCCACCGCCTCTACGACGGTGGTGCCAGTAGACGGTGCGCTCAGGTCAAGCGCCACAAAGCCGTGTCCGACCGACGCGTCTGGCACCGGCGCTGGCGGCGACGAGGCGACCGATGCACGTTCTCGAATCGACGCCATCGATTTGTTGGAGCGGAGCGAGCGCACGGACGAGACGTCGGACGCGCAATCGTCGACGTCGGGGCTCGTGGCATATGTTGATGCACTCGTCGAGGTCGTCGATCCCTTCCGTGCTGGCCCGACAGGAAAACCCGCCGCTACTCTGGCCTGCAAGACGCACTCGGTGCAATATTTGCCCGTCACGGCTTGAGACGCACAGGCCGGGACGTATACGATCTTGGTCGTACACCCACTGCACATGATCTATAGACAATTCTGTACAAAGATATCCCGAAAAGCATGGCAGATACCTCGCCGCAGAGGCGGCAGTGGTGCTTGGATCGCAGCGCGTTGAAGCGCTTGCCGCAGACCACACACGCCTTGCGATCACTAGGAAACCAACATCGTTGTCAATACGGGAAGCACATCCGGAAGGCGTACGCATCGGGCACCCAGGACGACGCTGGCGGCCGGGTGACAATGCGGCGGTACGCCGGCAGGGTCGCGGTGCGGAGAAGCATTTGACGGACCTTGGCGGCGCCAAAGTTGAGCAAGATCGACGAGCTGTTGGGGTCCATAAACCATCGACAGGTCACGTCCACGTCGCCGCGCGGGCTCGCCGTGTAGACAAAGCTCGCCAGCATCGTGGCCCGCGTTGTGCCTTTGGCTTCGGGCACCGCGGGAAGCGCCACCGACTCCCGCAGCACGTACAAGACGCGCGCACCGTGCTCGTTGAGGCGGGTGCCCGAGTGCTACAACCTTGCGTGTGCACAACCTGTCATTGGACACTGGATGTCGCACCTCGACGTACGTGAGGTCGCGCGGCGCCGAGGACATGGCAATGTTGAACTTGAGGTACTTGAGCCCGAGAAACGCACTCGCGTCGTCCTTTCGCCGCGCCTCGAGGACCGAGAGCACGCCGGCATTGGCAAAGTCGTGCTCGAGCAAGATCGAGTCGAGAATTTTCTGGTCGTTGCTTGTATCGGCATACAAGGCGTCAACAAGACTCGAGAACGTCGTGGGGAGCGCGCCCACTGCAAGGTACTGGGCCACGGACGAGCCGGACATCGGCTTGGCGTAGACCTTGAGGCCGAGCCGGTCGTCCTCGAGGCTCCAGCCGCTGGTCGCAATTTCTCGCTTGACGTCAAACTGGAGGGCTTTCGCGCAGCGCAGAGCGGCATTCTCTCGGTACGCCGACGCGTCCGCGGTCGAGACGAGGACGGTCGGCACAACGTGCTCGTCCAAAATCTCCATTTGTGTTCTCGTGCAAAAGCTATAAACAGGTTGTCAAACGATGCCACGAACGGCGCCAACGCTTTTGATTGGCCAAAACAATATATTGACGGCAAGCAAAATCAGACTGCGTCGATGGCAGAGGATCCAGGCAGAGATACCCGTGCGAAAGCCAGCTCCATGCGATGGATATCGGTCCAATTATGCACAGTTATTAGAGCTAGGTATGCGTGTATGCCTCTTTGATTTGCCTCTTTGCTAGGTAGAGAGCGTCGACTTCAAGAGGGCAACCGGCGTCGAGCCAATGGCATGACGCATATCGCGCTGTTGTTGGATGGTGCACGGACAAGCGAATCTCAATCTGAGTTTGTATCCACCCCATGAAAGCACGCGGTTGCACTTGGTGGGCGTAACATGGCCGCCACGTGGACGGCGCCAAGTTGATTTTTGAGTTAAGTTCGACTGGACGCGGCTTTCTATTGTCGGTTGCGAGGGTTTGCTGTGGGTTCCCGAGACGTACCCTCGCAAGACTCGAGTGTCGTTGCGTCGGAGCCTTTATCACCGCCGGCAGCCTTTGTACGTGGCAGAAACGACCATTCGCTGCTCGATGGCGTTATCCCGAAGTCGGTGCAGACATGTCCCAGTGCCCTCGTTCGCTCCTCACGCTCACACGAGCAAGTGCGTTTGCACCGATCCTATGCATTACTGTATATACGCACCGCAGTTCACGTCATGGACTGTGAATTCCCTTCAGTATGCATGATGTTCGATGCATCCAAGCTGCTCTCGTCCTCGAGTCGTCAAGTTCATTTCGGTGTAAAGTTCAAGATTTGCACCCGAACTTTGTCGGTTGGGTACAGCATCTGCTCGCTACAACTTGATATTTGTATGGCGCCCTTTCTAAGCTGTTGTGGGCAGAGACCCCGTCGAAATTACCAATTTGCGTCGCGTCCGCCGACAAGCATGGGTCAGTTTGAACAAGTACCGATCGCGTCACCCTCGGCGTCGCTCGTGATGAAGGCCGCGCAGAAGGACCTCGAGCGCGACCTCGCGCAGCGCAAGCTCGAGTGGGCCTGTGTCTTTTGCATCGTCTTTATGATCGCCGAGTTCATTGGCGGCTACGTTGCGGGCAGCCTCGCCATCATGTCGGACGCCGCGCACCTCCTCAGCGACGTGCTCGGGTTCCTCCTCTCGCTCTTCGCCTTGTACCTCTCGAAATTTCCGGCCACGCGCGTCATGCCTTTTGGCTACAAGCGCGCCGAGGTCCTTGGCGCCCTTGGGAGCATCCTCCTTATCTGGCTACTGACGCTCGGCCTCGTCTGGGCAGCGATCGAGCGCATCATCTTGCTCACGCGCACGCCGCTGCCCGGCGAGATCATTCCGCAGGTCAACGGCAAAGTCATGTTCTGCGTCGCGCTGCTCGGGCTCTGTGTGAACATTGCGCTCATGAAGATTCTTGGCCATGGCCACAGCCACGGCGGCCACGGCCATAGCCACGGCAGCAGTAACCACGGTCATAGCCACGGTGGCAGCAATCCTGAACACAGTCACGGCGAGAGCCACGCAGCGACCGAGGCCCACGGACACAGCCACGGTGCCTGCGACCACGACCACGATCATCACCACGATCACGAGGACGCCCACGATGACGCTGCCGCGCATGAGCATCACGACCACGACCACGATCATGATCACGCCAAGGGAGACGACGACGATGACGCGTCCACGTCACGCGAGTCGATGACAGCGATCGACGTCGACGACGAGCCCGAGCCCGAGACGCACTTGACGGCGGCGTCGTGCGGCGGCCACGAAAATCTCAACGTCCGCGCTGCGTACTTGCACGCGCTCGGCGACTTTCTGCAGAGCCTTGGCGTGTGCATTGCGGGCGGTCTCATCTGGTACGTTCTCATCTTCCACAACTTGACACCGTAAAATCCATTTTGACCGTAGGTACAACCCGTCGTGGCAGCTCTGCGACCCGATCGTGACGCTGCTCTTCTCGGTCATTGTGGGCGCGACGACCATTGGCATTTGCAAAACGAGCCTCCTCGTGCTCATGGAGGGCACGTCGATCGAGCTTGGTACGATAATGTTATTATCTGTTGGCCTTTCTCACTTTGCACTTTTAGATTTGGCGGGAATCGAAGCCACGATTCAGTCCGTGGCGACTGACTACCACGACCTCCGCGTGTGGTCTGTCTCGACCGGCGCGTATGCGCTCACGGTGCACGTTGTGAACCCGTCCTCGACGACGGTGGTGGCGACACTCCAGCAGCGTCTGCTGTCACTGCACGGCTTTGAATGTCTCTCGATCCAAGTCGAGACGGCGGCCGACGCCGAGCGGTGCCCGTTCAACGAGAAGGAAGCCGCGTGCATGGTCTAGCACCAACCAGTGACTATCATTACTAGAGTTAGGACCTCCCATAAACATGCTATTCCACAAAATGTGTCGTCGTCTACGGTCCTCTCCGCGCTTCGAGGCATGCATCACAAAGGTCAGACGGAGGGATCGCCGCCGCCGCAGATAGAAGCGTATCGCCACGAGCCACGATGCCAGTAAATCCACCGACAAGCGCGCCTTGAAGCAGCAGCCACCGTGGCGTGGCACCGCCAAGCACTAGACATGATGAGATCCCAAGACAAATGCAATGAGCGTACGTGCGACCGTCGCGGCAACACCTGTGGCAGCGCCACCGACTGCGCTCGCCGTTATCTCTCGCAAGAAGGTGTTGGCCTCGGGCGACGCAAACGCTCGCTCCATCGGCGTGTCGTCCAAGATCATAGGCTGTGTCTCGGTCGTGTTGGCATAGACGCGGCCGCCGATGGCAGAGGCCATTGTGCCGCTAAGCGTCGAGACCCAACGCACGCGCGTGGGCAGCGATCGGGCGACTAGACGAGTGCGTCGGTCATCCTTAAAGTCCTGCAAGAGCACCGTACCGGCAAGGCTGTAGTAGCTGAGGCCACCCGCGACTGCGGCAGCGGCCGTGTACACCCGCTGGCGCACCTGTGTCTCACTTATGCGCGCAGTCTCGTCCATCTCGTCGTTTTGCAACAAGTTTAGTGTGCTGATTGTGGGGCGTCGGCATATGGTGTGACCCTGCATGCTCATCCTCCAACACAACGTCGAGGGTGGACGCTAGAATCGACGGTGTCTATTGATGTCTTACTCTTTGCCTGCCTGCTTGGCGTGCTGCCTACGACGCATGCATGAGATGTTTGCCAATGTAGATCAAGGATGTGTACAGCTTGCGGAACTGCTTGCGGAGCTCCGAGGTCGCGCTGAGGTCGTTGATGCGCTCGAGCGCCTTGTTGTCCGCATAGAGGTAGCCCGAGATGCTGCCAATGACAGCAGACCCGAGGATCGTCGCAATCTGGTACGGGCGCGGGAAGCGGCCCACAACTACGGATCAGAACTTAGGTGGGGCACGAGACATGAGATGCACAGAGCGTACACGTGACGCTGGAGCTGACAATGGCGCCGCCGGCAGCGCCCAGCGCGCTGTACTCGCGCAGGTCCTTCTCGCGTTGGTCGCACCACGCCTTCTCCTCCAAGCTCAGCGCCGCCATACCTTGGTCGTTCTGAAATTGCACTTTCTGCACCACGAGCACGTAAATAGTGTACGAAGCAAAACGAGCGGACGTCGACATCGTGTTCGTACGCGTTCATCTCGGCGCAATGGCTGTACCAACAAGAAAACGCCACCTTGATACAAACGCAACGAGCACGATCGATCGCTCACTCGCCTCCTTGGCTCTTGCTACGTACCATTCTCCGAAACTCGTATTCGACACTATTTCTATATATATAAAATAGTGTGGAAATGAACACGACGGCGGTCCTTGCTTTCCCACTGAGAGCTTTGGCCAAGGGAATTCCCTTGCTGGCTTGGCCCGTGCTGACCGACTGAGTACAAAGTCATGCAGCTAATACCAGAGAGGGCTGAGCAGTCCCTTGCTTGTAGTGCTGCCCTTCGCATGCCTCGCCACAAGACTTTATCACTTACCAAACACAAATTTCGGGAAAAGGTTGTGCATTCACAAAGTCACGGGTCCGTTTCGACCAACTTAATGGCGTACGTCGACCGCCACTGCGCTGCTTAGTTGCTCGCCTCAAACTGCGTCGCGCGGATCATCTCCTTGAAGTTGAACGGGTGGAACTTGTTGCCGTCCGCCTTGTAAAACTTGTTTTGGAACTCGACCCAGTGGAGACGGAGCGCGTGGAGGAAGCACTCGAGCACGTCCATGCAGAGGATGACGCCAAACGTCGTGCCGGCAAAGAGCGCAAAGCCCACGAAGATCGCAATGAACGAGTCCATGTTGATGGTCGACAGCATCGCCTTTTCGAAAAAAACCGTCGCGAGCTCTACACATTGCCACACATATCAGCCAAACCTACGGTACAAATCCACAAAAAAACACAAAATTACCCGAGTGGGCCAGCGAGAGCGCCCAGAGACGCAGGTACGACGCCGTGTTGGACACCATACCGAGCACGAACTCGATGGTTTCAATGCCTTGGTGGATCGCCGCTTCGCCAAAGTTGAACGGCTCATCGCCATGGCCGTGGCCGTGGCCGCCGTGGGCCGCGGGCGCAAGCTTGGCGTGGTCGTCGTCGTCACTGAGGTTGTCAAAGTCGACCTGGTGCGACACTTCCGGGGCTGGGCTGCCGAACTTGAACTTCATGTAGAGCGGGTGGCAGAGAAGCATGATCGGCACCGACAAGCCCGCAAACGCAAGGAGCGTCTGCTGCATCTTCTTCTGGCCTTCGTACATCGGGTCGGCGACGGCACCGGGCTGGAGCGCAATATTGATGAGCGTGTTGATGAGCGCGGGCGGGCGGCAGCCAGTGGCCGGGCCTTCAAAGTTGAACGGGCACACCTCGTGGCTCATGCGCTCGGTCCAGTCAATGCTCCACTTCATGACGATGAGCACGACCATGTAGAAGAAGAGCGACGCGGCAAAGACGAGCTGCGGCAAGAAATCAAAAAAGAACGTCGGGTAGTCCTTGAAGTAGAGCGCGTTCCAGCCCTTGATGAGGATACCAAAGCCCATCTGCGTGATACCGAGAATGACACTGAGCTTCATCTTGAACGAGTTGAAGAAGAGAAGCTCGTTCTCCGACGTCTTCCAGATCGGGTCGAGACCAAACCCATAGACGTTGTGGCCGTTGGCGACGTCGACCGTCCCGTTGGGCACGCCGTCGTAGTGGTAGTACGCTTCGCACTTTTCGTGCTTGAGACCGAGCTCGTCGCAGTTGTCGGGGTACTGCCACTTGGAGCCAAAGAGGTTGAGCGGCAGCGAGAAGAAGTCATTGTAGACAAAGCCGGCGTACATGGCAAAGACACCCATGAGCGTGATCATGTAGCGACCGCCGTAAATCTGCGCCGTCATCTCGCCGACCTTGCCGCGCTCGAGGATCTTCTCGGTCGCAATCATGTACAAGCCAAAGAGGAAGATGCAAAAGCCGTGGCCAATGTCGCCGTACATGACGCCAAAGAGGAACGGGAACGAGACGGCCGTGAACACCGCAGGGTTGATCTCGCCGTACCGGGGCACACCGTACGTATCGACAAACGACTGGAACGCCGAGGTAAACTTGTTGGTTTGAAAGTGCGTCGGCGCGACCGGCCACGGCTTGGGCACCGAGTCGACAAGCGACGGCATCGACTTGTCGTCGGCGTTGTGGGCGCGGTCGACCGCGCGACGGACCTGATCCAACGCTTCCTTAACGACCCAGCCTTCGCCGCGCAGCATGCTGCCCACGTCCGCCTTGAACGAGTTGAGCGTGTGGTACGTGGCCTTCTCCTGGAGCACCGACCACTTCCACGACTCGTGGTGCTCGGCGAGCTCGCGGCAGAGAAGCACGCACGACTCGCGGTTGCGGCGGAGAATGTGCGAACTCTGGTTGAGCTCTGCGTTGTTGTTTTGGATCAAGTTGGCGATCGCGGTCCGGTCGTCCATCGACGGCAGCGTGTACAAGCGGGCGTGGAACGCGTCGCAGATCTTGCGGAGCTTCGTCTCGATAAACTGCGACTGGAAAAAGATCACAAACGCGTGCTTCTCGACCGCGACGCCGGTGCCCGGGTCGACGAGCAGCTCGTCAATAGCCGAGAAGCGCGTGAAGCAGTTGCCGCGCGTCGCACGGAACACCATGCGCTCAAACTTGAGGCGCTCGTCCGCGGGCACGACGCCCGTGATGTTCTTGAAGCGAATGGCCAAGTCCGTCTCGGACGCATCGATCGGCGAGCCGACGCCAAAGTTCATGCTGCTGCCCGTGCGCGAGCTGACGCGCGACGTCGTGTCGCGGCGCGTCGCGTCCGGGAGCTCAATCTCAAAGAACTCGCCGACGCGCGAGATGATCTCCTGGAGCTCCTTGCGCTCGTTGTACTCGCGCGTAAGCTTCTCGTGCATCGAGTTGAGCTGGAGCAGCTCCTGCTCCTTGTCTTCGAGAATGCGCTCGAGCGTGTCGAGGGCGCGGACCGCCGTGTCTTGACTGCCGTAGCGCACGTCCGCCGAGCCCGCGAGGAACGAGTCGACGCTGCCCGCGCTCTTGGCCGTGATCTTGAACTTGGTCATCTCGCCCGCGAAGAAGCGCAGCTTGCGGTCCATCTCGTCGCAGCGCTTGACGTACGAGACGTAGCGACGCTGGAAGGGCGTGAGCTCCGGGTTGAGATCCGTGAACTCGACGACGCCGAGGTCGCCGAGCTTCTGGACGCAGTCATGGGCCGCGTCCTCGTTGACGATCAAGGAGATGTACTCCATCTCTTCCGAGCGGAGCCACTTCATCTTGCTGCTGCTTCGACTGACTTGGCGAACTCGAAATGCGACCAAGCCACACACAAGTCCCCTCAAATAGCTTGATTTTAGTATACCATACTCTGTCCCCTATTGTACGAGTGTATTTTTAGACGGCCGTTTAAACGTTTGGTGATAGGGTGTTTAAACGTTAAGATGCGTCGAGGGTATTCCCGCTCTTCGAAGCGGAAGGGAGGTTGACAACGACTCACTCAGGCTCCTAGTACCAAGGCTAACACCACCTTGCTTTTGCCATAGCAAATACTACTCCATTCGTACACTGGCGCTAGGCCCGAGAGAGTACAGTGCCACGCGGTTGTGTGTGCCTGCCCGACGCCGCCTTTCACATACCGAAGTGCCACAGACCTACCCTAGATGCCGCCGCCACAATCGATTGCTGTGAGTGCTAGAGCTATTGCGCGCAGACGCCATCGCATAACGTTATTCACCGATGCGAGAAGCAGCTTCACGGTAGCCAATCTCGGCTGTAGAGGCGAGCCGCTCCACGCAAAAACCGCACCTGCGCCTCGACGCTTTGGTAGAAATGCGGCGTTGGTATCCTGAGAGACTCGTCCGATGACATAGGCATTGGCGGAGCCCATTGGAGTAGCCCTATTGGAGTGCTAATGGAGCTGCTGTTTGGGGTCTGCCACGTTTCATTGCACCAGTGCTGTTGCAGGTCATTGGTCTTCTTCGCCTGCGAGGCTGCACTACAGTCTCGTTGTCGCATGCCATCACACTGTCTATTGCTTTGCTTTCAACTGCATCAAGATATGCAGCCGTCGTTCAATGCTCCATGAACGCTCCTCCTACATTTGTACTAGTACTGGAGTGGGCTTGCTCGTTTTCCCGCTTAAACGTCATTTAACCACATGCGTTAAACGCAGCGGTTGAAGCAGACGGTTTCGGCGACCCTCGTTACGAGAGCCTTGCGCCTCAAAGAGATCCGGATCTCCCTCGTTTGAAGAACAAGCACCATCCACTCTGGGACGACATAGCCTCTATAATCGGATATCAATCCTTGAAGGTCCCACTGTGAGACGGAATTCCCTCTCACAGTCAATAGTACCCAGTGCAGATTGCAACGACGCTTAGACACGCGATGGCGCCGCCGACCGCTGCGACGCCACGCATACCTCCGCCGCCATTGCGAGACGAGCCCAAGGCGGCGCCGACGCCCTCGGCAGTCGACGGTGGCCGCAAGCGCCCGGCGACGACGTCGAGCGACGCGACCATGCCCGTCTTGAAGCGCAAGCCGCTGGTCGTGCAGACGCTCCTCGACGCCACTGGCGCAGGTGTCACGCTCCGCCTACCATCCAAGACCGACGCTTCCAGCCAGCGCATTACACCTGTCGGCAAGGTGCGCAAGCTACGCCATGTACAGGGGTCTGCCAAGTCCGTGCGCACGCTGCCTGGTGTTGGCTTTGGCACAACACCACGGTTTCCACGGTCACCGCCACTCACCGCACCGACAAGCAACCCTTCATCGCGCGCTGCCTCTGGGTTTCAAGGATGGAAGCGAGCACGGTCGTCGACAACTGCCATCACCACCCATAGTACAAAGCCCAAGGCGTTGAAGGCTGCTTCAACGTCTGTACCAAAGCCTCCAACGACGCCTGTCCAGGCAAGCCGGAAACCATCCCACAAAACAGCAACGACTGCGTCCACGACCGCGAGCTCTGCAATCAAGCCCGTGACGCCATGTCGTCCGGTCCAGGAAGCGTCGACGACACCACCGGCGCCGCCACGTACCGACAACGACGAGGCGACGTTGGTCTCTCAGATCGTAGCGTCCATCCAAGCGCGCTCGTGCCGCTTGGTGTGTATCGACTTTGACAAGACGCTGCTCGACATCCACACCAACGGCGAGTGGACAAAGACGGCCGAAGACCTCGTAGGCCATGTGCGTCCGCTCTTCGTATCGATCTTGCCGCAGCTGCATGTACATGGCGTGCACCTGGCGATCACGACCTTCTCGCCCCAAGCCGACCTCGTCCAGCGCGTCTTGCAGCTGGTCCTGGACCCAACGACCGCCAACGCCATCCCTGTCTTTGCTGACAACGCGCGTCCATCGCCGGTCGAGGATACGAACGATGACGACGACGACGCATCAATTCCAGCGCATGTGCGATTGGACAAGAGGCACAAGCTGTCGTATGTACTGTCGGCGGCGCGTCACCGGGCGGTGCGCCTTGGCCACGCGCTCTTGATGGACGATGACGCGACGAACCTCCATGACGTGGCAGCGTACAATGTGCAGACGCTGTGGTATGAACACCACGAATCGCTGCAGTCGTTGGCGGCCAAGCTCTCGACGCCCACAGCGCACACGAACGCTCATGCGACGCCGGTGAAGACGGCCCACGTCGCTGCTCCTCGCTCCGAGCGCGTTGGACGACCTGTCAAGCCCAAGAAACAGCGCGCCCTCGTCTACTAGCGGCGTGTTGTGGTTACTGTCGGCACGAAGTCGACAATGACAGTACAGTAGGGCCGTCGCACTCGCAAGTCTTTCTAGCGCTGTAAAGGGCAAATATACTTAAAGGTTATTAGTGGTATAGAGATAGCAGCGTGTTCACGCCGTGTCATCGTCCATGGGCGCGTCGTCGTCGTCGTCGTCGTTGTCGCTGTCGCGCTCGCGGAAGCGTGGGTTGGCCTCCTTCTTCTTCTCGTCGTCGATGCTCACATCGTCAACGTCGTTGCGCCGGTCGCTCGTCTGGCGGCGCGACGACGGACGCGAGTCAAAGTCGCCGACGCTGTCGGTGCGGTCGCGCTTCATGCCGCCGGCGCGGCGGAAGTGGTTGGTGTGGCCACCGACGTCGTCGACCTTCTTGCCGTAGCCGCCGCGACCCGGATCATAGTCGTCCTTGGAGCGGCGATCGTCGCGGACTTGACCGCCGGTCGTGCCACGACCATACTGACGGCCTTCGCGGAAGCCGCCGTCGAGCTCACAACGAATGACACGCTGGTCGAGCTTGGTGCCCGAGACAAAGTTGGAGCAGGCCTGCGCGTGTTCCTTGTTAAAGTACTCGACAAAGCAGAAGCCGCACGGCGTCTTCTTGAGGCGGTCGAGACCCATGATGACGGCGCGGACCGGCCCGACGACCGAGAAGAGCTCGTAGATCTGGGTTTCGCTCGTAAAGAAGCTTAGGTTACCGACGTAGAGCGTGCTCGACTGCTTCATGGCCTCTTGCTGCTCCTCAAGCGACGTGTACGTCTGCCGGTCCCAGTACTCCTTCTTCTTCGGGCCCGCGCCCTCGACGAGGCTCGCGTACAGCTCCATGACCACACAACCAAAATGGTGCGTTATGCCACAATTACTCGCTCGTAATTTTGCTATTTGTGGCGCGACGCTTCCGTGTGATTGGCCAGCACGGCTCGGCAGGCAACTGGTCCATTGCAAAAGGATCGGTTGATGGCCCATTCCTGCCCGCCACCTAATCTCGCAGCTACCTTGGCGACTGCAGCCCGACATACCGGTTAACTACGATTGCACATCAAGATAACCCACATTGTCATGATTTGGCTGAGCTCGCGCGCCCTCCGGTAGTCGGCGCACAGCTGCTTGAGGCGGCGGCGTCGGGCGACGAGAGCGAGGTGAGCGCCGTGCTGAGGTCGTCGACTTGCTTTTGGAGCGAAGCCTTTTCTGCGTCGTAGCGCTCTCGCATGTGCTGCTTTTGATAAAGTTGCGCATCTTCATGTGCTCCTTCTGCCGGACGAGGTTGGCGTCAACTCGGCGTGTCATGCATGATTCAATGCTGACATGTGATTGGCTAGCATTCCGAGGCTCAAACTCAATCTAGAATGCTGTTTGAGAGTTGAGAAGAGAGTCAAAGTTGGCCAGCGCTGCGAGCGCACTCTCAGCTTTCCAGACAGTGATCCGGTCAGTGCCAGTGGGCAGGACCTTCTTGAAACCAAACTCTCAAACTCCACCAGTCGATTCGTGTTCGCCCTCGTTCGCGACTAGCACCCTGGGGACTCCAGACGTGCGACGTTATTTGCCGCAAACAAGAGGACCAGAAACAGCGTTATAAGTCCTAGGTTCCGACATGCACAATATACTGGCCCCACTGTCTACAGCTGCATGACGTGGGGATGCTCGGCAAGCTCAATGTCGATCGACCGGCGGCGGCCATTATCCGACGCCGACTCACTGCGCCCGGCGTTGCGCAGGGGCGAATCGGGGGCTTCGGTCGCGGGGCTCGGCATCACGGGGCGATTCGACACAGGAATGTCGTGTGCAATGCTCCGAATCTAGCACCAATATGTCCATGGCTTCAACTATCGCAGTAGACACACATACCGCGCCGTCTTGGTTGTCGGGCGACCGGAAGATGCGGTACACGAAGAACCCAACGACAAGCGTCAAGAAGATGAGCAGAATCGTAAAGACCGTGATGCCCGCCGACGACGTCGTGAGCCACTGCATGACGGACGGCAAGAAGCCGGTGTCGGTGATCGACGCCGTCGCGCTGCTGCTGCCGTTGCGTGCAACGAGCGACGCCGCAATCTGGAAGCGCGACGAGACACTCGCGTTGCTTGTACTCATTGTGCTAGTCACAAAAATTGATACATTGAAACAAATCGGAAAAATCGGAAAATCAAAAAATGGACGTACATGGGCGCCTCGGAATACACGAGGACCCAAAACTGGCCCGAAAGCGGTTCGTTGAGCAGCTGGACGACTTCCTCCGTCCCCTCCTACCCATAAGTCGATTATCTTGTGCACAATATTGTCTTTTGTACTGAAAACGAGACGCGGCTAAAGTCATAGATCGACCGCGGTGGGACCTACGCACCCATGATGTTTCGATGGGAAAACAGATTGGTCGAAACTATGACCTCGGCCACGTAGACGGTGGGAGAAACGCCGTCGAGGTTGGTGACGCGCAGCTGAATGCCCGTGTTGGGCTGCATCGACTGCGGCAGCGTAAAGAGAGCACCGCCATCGTTGGGCAGGGAAAAGGTTGCCGTACACACGCTGCAGAGCAACGATGCATTCTCGGACGCATACCACAGCGTGCCCATATCAATCGGGTTGGGGCTGGCGCACGTGAGTCCATGCCAGCCGTTCTTGCAGCTGCAGCTCGGACCGTCTTTGCTGTCGAGGCACGTCCCTCGGCCGCCGCAAATGCTACCACAGCTGGGGTCAATATTTCGAGGACATATAAGGACATACGTCACATCGCCGTTGCCGCCACATGTATAGGACGGGTACACTTCGGAGACGGCGGTGACGGGCTGCACCGAGAGCTGTGCGAGTAGGATATCGGCAGCAAACCGCTTGTTGTAAACCGCAACCTTGTAGCACGTGGGTCCGCTGCACGCTGTCGAGACGGGCACCACCACTGTCTGAGACATAGCACTGGCGGCCATCGCATCAAAATCAAACGCCGCGCCAAGGTCGAGCGCCGGTAAGCCGGTTTCGAGCGGTCCGCGCACCAGCAGCAGCGGCATCGCATCGTCAATGTTGCTGAGCTGCACCTTGATGAACGTGACGTCGGGATCCGGCACGTCCAGTGTGAGATACTAGCCATCAACATACGAATCACAAGTGCAAAGTGGGAAAGGACAATCTACCGTCCACTGGCCAGGACGGAGTTGGACCGAGATATTGATGGCGGCGGATGCATTGTGCCACACACGACGGTGGGCAATGGGTCCGCGGTCGCAGAACGCCCCGCCGTAGCCGGTCGCACACGCACAGAGACCATCAAGCGCGGGCGAGCACGTCGATGTTGCCTCGGGGCATATGCGCGAAGCGTTCACGCAGCTGCTGTTGGCTTGGACGTTGAGCGAAAAAGCCAGCGAGCTTCGCGCATAGAGCGAGTTGTAAACGCCAACGTAGAGAAGACCGTCGCTGAGCGTCGATGCGGCGCGCGTCAGCAAGATGCGCTGCGTGCCGGCTTGCGTTGCCCACGCCGCCCCATCGGCCGCTTGGATCGGGTACGGGTGCGTCACGTCGAGCGACGGCAGTGTGTTTTTTCGCACGAGCACGAGGGCGTCGCTCGTGACCGAGACATCGTCGAGCTGGACGTAGACATAACTCCAGCTGGGCTGCACGTTGATCGTATACAAGGCCCATTTCCCAATCTCGACCTAGTGGTCTCAACTGTTGCGCATTCGTTTGCGATAAGAGAGGGTGGACCTGCTCGTCCAAGGACTGCGCATAGACCACAAACGAGCTGTTGTAGTGCTCGACGAACGAAATGGAAGGAATCGGGACCTTGCAGAGACTCTGCGCGTCATTCGGGCGGTCGTAGTGGTACGCCGGGTCACAGACGCAGGTCGGCTGGTCGACGCCATCCGCATTGGGCAAGACCGTACAGACGCCGTTGCCAAAGCAGTCGGACGTATTGCGGAGCCCTCTCGAGACAACACCCACCGGCGTCGAGGATCCGGGTACCTGCTCGTTTCATAGGAATCCGTACACATATACAAGAGTTGGTACCGGGCAATTGTCAAAGTCGATGCAGTCCGGTCGGCACTGGGGCAAGTTGCACGCATCGCCCGTCCAGTACCGATCGCATGCGCACACGCCGGCGTAATACTACGACATGCATGAGACGTGGCACGTCGGATCTAGTGCGCGCACCTTGCCGCACGTGCCATGGTTGGAACAGCTCTCGCTCGAGCACTTGTTGAGCTTGACATTGATCGCAAAGCGCGAGGCCGCAAACCCAAACACGCCAATGTAGAGATACCCCGGGGCACCCTGGACAAACTGCGTGTTGGGCTGGCGGCAAAAGTGAAACGTGTCGTTGATGCCCCGCGGAAAGACGCCGAGCGACCCGCAGAGCGTGATGGCGTCGACGCCGTCGGTGCGGTTGGCATCGCTCACAAACGTCGACGCGCGCAAGCTGCCGACAGTTGGTGTTTGCGTCACAAACGAAGCATAGACATCCGCGTCTACAGAGTGACTCAAGTACCGTGGAGACGAGTGTAGTGTACCGCCAACGGTCGTGACGACGCGCACAGTGACGTCGGACGAGCTCGAGTCGAGCTGAACCCGGAAGAATTGATAGCTCTGCGCCATTCCAACGTGTCGACGATCGTTGATGACGCAGTGGGCCTACCTTGGCGGCCACAGAGCCCATGTACGCGGTTGCGTTCGCGAGCTCGAGCGTCGTCACCGTGGGCATTTGGCTGGTTTGACACGACGTGCCATAGTACCCAGCGGCACAGATGCACGACCCTAGCCCATACCGTTGTAACTACGGCGACCGGAAGTCTTGTATACCTGTTTTGCAATCGCAGCTGCCGTTGGCGCCGCAGCCCGGGCAGCCCGGGACACATTCGCACGCATTGCCTACGCATATACCGTCGGCTTGTCGCGAAGTACGGCGGCGGTCGACGCACCCGAGTATCCCGCGTTGCACGTGCATGCGCCAGTAACTGCATTGCATGTTCCGTGGTTGGAGCACTCGACCGCGTTGTACTTGGGGTCGTCGATACCGGGGCACACGAGGAGCGAGCAAGCTAGCCCGGTGTATCCCGACTGGCACTACCCCCGAATCAACAAAATGAGCGTATTGTCCTCTGCACTAAAATTCATCAATAGGGCAATAGAACGTACGGTGCATTGTCCCGTGCTGCCGTCGCACGTGCCGTGGCCAGCACACGTGGCGCCATTCGCAGCCGGGCAGTTGAGAAGCGAGCAGTCGGCGCCGTTAAAGCCTACGCCGTATCATCCTCATTACTTGGAGAAGTGCAAGCATCGCAACAACGCACCAGGGTGGCAGACGCAAGAGCCGTCGGTTTGTAGAACGCCGGCGCCCGAACATTCGTTTTGGAGCCGTTGGCAAATGGTGTTGGCCGGGGGGCAACTAGCTTGCTGTCGTGAGCTTCTGTTTTGAAATGTCGAAACAACCTCAGCGAGCCCGAGTACCCGGGGACCGACACAGCGCCACCTGCCATAGGACACGACACTTGGGTGGTGCCGACGGTCACGAGCATGGCGGTTTTCGTGCATCGGTCGACGCTGTAACACACGGGCGTCGATGTACTAGACGTCAACTTGCACCAAAAAAGAACGACACTCTGTCATTGTACCGGGTGCCAGACGTGGACAGCGTTGACTGGAAGCACTGACTCGACGACGACAAGATCTCGCCCATGCCCGGCGTCACATACGTGCCCTAGACAGTCGATTCTCGCAACGAATCGAGATCGTATTGGCCTACGAGGTTGGCGCAGCCGCCGTTGCTGTAGCCCGAGTTGAGTGGGCAATAATCCGCATACGTATCTTGACCGCCTACCCATAGTGTCATATCTTCCATATATATATGTATATATATATACCCAGCGCCGCGTTGCCGAAATATTGAAACCCCGCCGGAATACTCGACGTGTACGTCGCAAGGTTGCAGTAGCCTTTCGCATCGCGCGTCGGCGTGCAGTGGTCGCCCTTGGCCCTGCAAAAGTAGTCGCTGCTCCACTCGGAGCACTTGGCCCTACGCAGCATCCATGGATTAATATCGCCTCCATGCAGCGCTGAACAAGTATATGGTACGTGGCGAATGTGCAGCCTTCGAGATACCCCCAGGCAAGCGCCTAGCCCAGTTGCTTGTGTATGACATACCCGGTTCTTGTCACTACAAGTATGTACCTCTGCCATCGAGTAGTTGGCCGTATACCACCCGCTGTCTTCAAAGAGCGCCAACGTTAGCGCTGAAAACACGGGGGTCGCTGACGCCGTGGCTGTCATGTACTCGTTCTGGAAGATCCGCTTCTCCCAGTGGCTCGTGGTTGTGGCCGCCGTGCCTTGCGCACCGTTCTCGAGCTCGCCACCAGCGTTGACCCTACGACATCATATATAAAGTTCGCGTTTCCTATAGTACGCGAACCAGTTGTAGCAGTTGAACTGCTGCTTGACGGCGGCGACGACCTTGGGCGTAATGATCTTGGAGACCGCGACGCCGCGCTCGAGCGTGTTGAACACGACGTTGCCTGCGCCCCACGGCGCGCCGTTGAGCGGCTGACGAAAGTCCGGGAACCGCGACGACGAAAAACCCAGCGCGTGCGTTAACTCGTGCAGCGCCGTGCCCACTTGCTGCGACCGCGCGGCGCTCGACGCATCGAGCCTGCATCGTTTGCTCCAACATGAGTCTCGTCATTCAAAAGCCTACCGGTTGGGCCCAAAGTTGGCTTGACCTGAGATCGGGCGGCCGTATTGGTCGAGGTTGCACGGCAGCGCCCACGCGAGGACGGCGCCGGACGTCGGGCGGGCCGTCACGTGAATGAGAAAGTCTGTTTTGGCAATCCCGGTCGACGCCAAGTACGGCGGCATCGAGTTGGTACAGCAAGCCCACTGCCCGTTCGCGCTACACCCAATGCCCGGGACGACGAGGTTGCCCGAGACCGACTGCACCGAAAGCACTTTAGAAAAGTACGATGTGATGGCAGGCAGCAGCACGTTGGTGATGAAGCTGCGCTTGTCCTACACTGACCTTGTCGGATCCGGCGCGCAGCAGGTCGTACCGAGGTCAAGACGTCGTTCGGGGCACACGTGTAGCTCGACCCGTCGCGACTCACGACGTCGCCAACATTGGAACACAGATAGCCCGGATCGCTAATTGCCATCAGGACATACGACCATGTCGCGCGATCGTCGTACCTGAAGAGCTTGGACGTGTCGAACGAGATGCGAATTGGATTGAAGAGGCTGCTGGCAACGCCATCGGCGTCGAGCCGGCGACTCTTCGACGATACGAGGTTCTGCGGGCTGCGCAGCGTGGACGTATCAACGTCGGCCTAGTACGACCTCCATGAGCAGGTAGGAGCCATGCTGATGGCGTACGAGGAAGCGCTCCATGAGCTCATCGTGGCCGCAGTCGTGGCCGCCCACCGCGCTGCGGATCAAGACCAGCACGATGCCAAGCAGCATCTTCATCGTCGTCTCTGCTTCTCTTGGCAACTGCCAACCGACAAGATCTCGAGCTGCAAAACACTTGATTCAAGTATATCCCTTCACGGCGCGCGGGGATTGGCTACATTTCGCGATCTTGGGCGGGTGTCGATCACGTCCAAGCCACGGATTTCGAGCAGCTAGACAAATAATGGCAGGACATTCAAGCCTTTGGAGAGCATTTCGTATGGACCCTATTCTCCTAATGTGGGTTCAACCACACAAATCAATTGTATTCCACCTCTGGTACCGCCAACGTGGAAGTACGTTTGACAGGGTCGTTGGCTCGACGGCGGTGTCTGGATGTGTCTTTTGCAAAATGCATCGGGACGCAATCTTCTGTGCTTGGCGGACAAGCCAGCCATCTTCAAGTTTGCAGTGGCGGGCTTCTTGGTACATGTATCTAATCGAGGTTGCGAGCGTGCTTCAATTCGCCCGGCACAGCCCCTTGCAGCCGCGTGTCCACCTCGTTTCAGTTCGCAAAGAAGCGAATGCATCCACACAAATTGGTTGCTGCATGAGGACGAGCGAAGCAGTCGCTAATAAAATGGAGCCATCTTTGAAATACCAATTTTGAAACAGCGCAACGATTGCCCAATTTTAGAGTTTGGTATGGAGACGCGCCGCCTTACGACGCCGATGCTCATCGACGACGACGATGACGACATGGGGCTTCCGCTCGAGGGGCCTGCGCCGGGTGCACGCAAAGATCCTGCGGGCCCCGAGTCGGCCAACATTTTTCCGCGGGTACGATGCTTATATCGGTGCATAGATAAGACGCTGCTTAGTGGCTCGTCGAGCGCAAGGACTTTCAAACGTTCTTTCCGCGCTTCTCCAACAAGGTGATTGTCGAAGACGACAAGCTCCGACTCGCAGCACAGAAAGACCCGGACGCGCGCAACGGCATTGACATTCAGCTCCTCTCCAAGTGGCTCGTCAACGTGCCGGCGCTCAAGTCGCTCAACGTGCCGCAGGCCGGCGAACTCGCCAAGCGCATGCGCTGGGCGTCGTTTGAGCCACTCGAATTTGTGTTCCACAAAGGCGACATTGGCGACGCCTGCTATATCCTCGTCACGGGCGAAGTATCTCTCGAAAAGGACCGCTTTGGTCATGGAATACCATCGAATTGAGTAGGTGTTTGTGGTTGTCAACAACGAACGCGTTGGGACACTCAAGAAGGGCATGAGCTTTGGCGAAGTCGCGCTCGAGCTCGAGGATGCGCGCCGCACCGCCGACATTCAAGCGAGCGAGCGCGGCGCCGAGCTCCTCGTCATTCGCGGCGAAGACTACCAAAAGAACGTGTTTCGCTACCAAGCCAAGCGCCGCAAGAAGCTCACGCGCTGGCTTCGGAACGACATTGCGATATTTCGCGATTTTTCCGACAACAAACTTCGGTATTTCGAGTCGGTCTCGATCGACCTCTTTTTGCACGCGGGCAACTGCGTCTACATGGAAGGCGAAGACGTCGGCGCCCTCTACTTTATCAAATCCGGTACGTACTCTTGAAGTGTACACATCCATATTGATGTGCGGGTAGGGTCCATCTCGCTCGAGAAGAACGTGCTCTTTGAAACCAAGCACCGACGCCCCGTGACCGTACATTCGTGGGTCGTCCAGTCCCACAAGACTAGCGTCCAAGTCCCTTGCTTTAATGTCGAAGCCACGGGCTGTTTTGGTATGGAATTTTTCGTCCAAGTACGTGTGATATATGTCGTTGCATCAAAGATCGCTCAAATAACGTCAACGAACTATTAGCTACCCACGCGGAGTCATACTGCGGTCGTGCTTACCGACACGCATTTGGTCGCGATCAACAAGGTGGACTGCGCCTCGACCATGCACACGTTTAGCGTCAAGGCCGTGGACCGTCTGTGTGAAAAGTATACTTTGCAACTATTCGAGATCGAGGGACATGAGGGTGGGGTAGGTACCGCGATATTTGGAATGCGACTGTGACGTCGACGCAAAAACAAGTGCGTGCGTACAACCGGCACCAGCGGCACAGCACCGCGCTCGTGCCCCAAGGTACACCAGCAACAGGTTGCAGAATGCCAATTTTGGCAGTTGGCGCCAATAGCCCAATCTTTGTGCGGCAGCGCCATCCCGATTCGAAAGAAGAACACCCGAATTACCAATTTCCGAGCCTCGAGCGTTCGGCGTGGACAGCGACAAACGCCGTGGTCGCCAAAGCCCAGCGCGGCTGCGACCCCGCGACGACCAACTTTTTACTCTCGTCGTCGACGTCATGTACACCATATCCTAGTATTGGCATATGGCTGACGATTCTGTTGTAGCGCCGACGCTTGGGTCCAAGGCTTCGATGATGTCTTCCCTGTCGGCGTCCGTGTCGTCGTCGACAGGCTCGATGAAGAGCCTCCCGCGCCTCCCACCGCAATAGAACACGACAGGCCATTTCCAACATTATATATTGTACCACAGTCCGTAGATAGGCGTTTGTATTCCATGGTCTAATTTGCGGCTCACTGCTTGATGAGTGGTTGCCACGTGCACTGGTTGGACAGTTCAAATTTGTGCTTGAAAAGCCCGGCAATATCGTCCCAATGAAAGTCGTCAAAGTTGCGAATGACCACATTGTGCTCATCGATGACGAGTTTGTGGGGCACGGCGTGCACGCCATACCCTACAAGTACACATTGTCATCCATCATAAAGACGTAACGACGCACCATCCGGGATGTCGTCGCAGCCAAAATGCAAGACGGTCGGACCATCGTCCGTGTCCAAGTACTCGGTGCAGACGCGGGGCTTTTTCGTTTTGGGGTTTTCGGCCCGCACAAAGTCGAGCGCGTTCTGGATCTACGCACGATCCATGGAATGCAATCTAAAAAATCGGGATTCGTACGTGCTTGTCGACGTTGATAAGGACAAAGTTGACGAACGGCGTCGGAAGGTTGTGCTTGGACCAGCGCTCAAACTCCTCGACGGCCGGAACGCACGAGTTGCACCACGTTGCGTAAAACATGACAACCGACGGCTTGCCGCTGCTCGTGATGCTGTTGAACGACGTGATCGCCCCCGTCTCGAGGTCCACGAGGTCAAAGTCCGGCGCGTCCTGGTTCACAATCACGCCTGCCATGCCACCCGCGCCTTTTCCAAGTTCAAAATGACCACGCAAAACCTTCTTTCCGCAGGTTTCGAGGATTCGAACATTAGATGGTTGGGGAATTGAGTCCTCCTTGGTTCACGGCGGCGGGAAGGCTCGAACATGTAGCGTTGCTCAACTACAGAGAAGTTCAAGGTGCTTGTAGGAACGGCGTTTTCTTGGCGCCAAAACATGTACGAAGTCGCACGCGTTCACCTTGGATGTTTGTGCAACCAGATTCAATTGGACTACATTCCGAGGAAGCCTTTTGGTACTACGTAGTACAAGTGACTCAGGAATGATTTCGAGCTGTACGAACGATGCCGGAGCCAGCACTAGCAATAAGGCGCTAGCAATAAGAATCGGTCTCATTACCTCTAGCAACGACTAGCTCGGCACGACGAGACTACTACGAAAACACACAACGACGACCGATCACGTCGCCCAGCTGCTCGCTGTGCCACGTACACTGTGGGCCAGGAGAATACCGCGGCGCCACCCACTTGAATGTGCCACTTGAATTCGACATCTGATTGGCTCAAAGTACGTGCTGGCTGCGCGAGCTTGGCGCGGATTGGCTGAAATTCGAACTGAAACGCCGAAAAATCTTGTGACGGGACGGGCAGCGCCACTTTGCACTTGTCCACATCCCATATCCATATCTTTCCTGCCCTGCCATAATGGTTGTCCCGCTTCCTGCTTCGCTGCGTGGCCCTGCCGGCGCCGCCCGTCTCGAGGCCCTCTGCGCCAAGTACGACACGCCGCTCCAGCTCTACGACGAAGGCCTCATCCGCGAGAACGCGCGCGGCCTCTTCCGCGCGTTCCGGACGCACTTTTCGACGTTTGCCGAGTTCTACGCGGTGAAGGCGCTGCCCAACCCCGCAATCCTCAAGATTCTGTACCAAGAAGGTTGTGGCTTTGACTGCTCGTCGACGGCCGAGCTACACATTTGCAAGACGCTCGGCGTGCCCGGCGACAAGATCATCTACACGTCCAACTACACGTCCAAGGAGGACCTTGCGACAGCGTTTGACCTCGGCGTCATCATCAACCTCGACGGTACGCTAGCTTCTCGCCGCTTGATACGATCTCGCTCTATTAGATGTGTCCCTCGTCGATGCTCTCGTCGAGGTGCGCGGGCGGTGCCCGGATCTCATGTGCTTTCGCCTCAACCCGGGCCTTGGCCGCACCGACTCGGAGACCAAGTCGAACGTGCTCGGAGGGCCCGATGCCAAGTTTGGCGTGCCGCCGTTCCAGGTATCGCCTGTCGATGTACATTGACCGTCGTCACAACGCAGTATGTAGATTGTCGAGGCCTATCGCAAGGCGCAAGCGGCCGGTGCCACCCGCTTTGGCATTCACATGATGACCGGGTCGTGCGTCATGAACGCCGACTACTGGAAGGAGACGGTCACGGAGCTCTTCCAGACGGTTCTCTTGCTCAAGAAGGAGGTATTTGTCTAGGCTAAACCTACATGTCCTTACAATGGCAAGTAGCTCGGCATCACGATCGAGTTTATGAACATTGGCGGCGGCCTTGGGATCCCGTACTACCCCGACCAGGTACATACCACGTCTGTCATGATGTTGTCTTATATGCCCTGTAGCCGGTCGTCGACGTTCCTGCCATTGCGCAGATGCTTCGCCACGTCTTTGATGAACTCATGGCGCAGCACGGCGAGGTCATTTACCCCGCTACTGCGTGGCTGCGAGAGGATGAAGCATGCTCACCCTCGATGTAGACGTCAATTCCGCAGCTCTGTATGGAGAACGGTCGGTACATGACGGGTCCCTATGGCTGGCTCGTGAGTCGCTGCCAAGCCATCAAGCAGTCTTACGCCACGTACACCTCACTTGCTTGTATCTCTGAACTAACTGCATTGAACTAGGTACTATGGCCTCGACGCCAACATGGCGCACCTCATGCGTCCGGGTATGTACGGCGCGTACCACCACATTACGATTCCAGCGCGGGACGTGCCGGGTGCCGAGATTGTGGCAGCCAATGTCGTCGGCCAGCTTTGCGAAAACAACGACTGGTGCGATATACCATCGCGACGACTGCAATCTGATGTATGGTCGGTAAAGGTTTGGGAAGGACCGGCCGCTCCCCAAGGCCAGCGTCGGCGACTTGTTTGTGATCTACGACACGGGCGCGCACTCGCATTCGATGGGCTTTCAGTACAATGGCAAGCTCCGCGCGCCCGAAGTGCTCATCTCGCCCGACGGCACCGACCGCCTCATGTACGCAGATCTCATAGAGCGTATGGGACTGATGATGACACTGTGTTGTAGTCGCAAGCGAGAGACGTACGATGCGCTGTACGGCAACTGCGTCATGCCCGACGACCTCTAAATCGCCTGACAACGTTGACAACACGCTCGACTCTAAGCTTCAACATTTGTAGTCGTGTGGAACGAAAATACAGTGCCTTGTTGGAAACAGTGTTTGATCATGGTGCATATGAATGTCCAACAAGTAACTTTGGTGCGACTTGCTCCTCTCGCGCATCGGGGCACCAGCAATGGCCCCAACACCAAAATGACGGCTGTGAAGAGTTATGCTCCAGCACTCGTAGCCGACATACATGATGATGTCCAGGTAGAACCAAGTACTGTACTTGTCGCGTTTGGACAAATGGTCCAAGAAGAAGCGACCAACACCGCCGGCCTTCTGCTCGTGGAGACATATAGAAGACATATAGATGGATATAGTGTCGATTCACATGTATACGAACGCTCCAGACATAGCGCAAACGACGGTTTAATGGGCGTTGTGCCGGCTCAAATAGGCTTTGCAGTGGGCATGCAGCTTCTCCACAGCGTCGTCCATCCAGCTGGCATAGTCCGTTTCGGAGCCAACGTTGCGGTGCCACGCGGAACGAAAATGCGCCGTCTTGAATGCTTCGGCAAGGGTGCAGAGAACGCTCATTTCGTCCGTGACGGCCGCCGTCGCCGACTTGATGCTGTCTGCCGCGCCCGCACAGCACAGAGTTGTCGCCTCCCAGACCGCTGTATCTGCCTCGAGGTTGTTGGTCATGTTCTCAAACACAAGCGCCACCCAGTTGGACGACTTGCTGGTCGCGTGGACGGGACGCCCCAAGTTCGCTAGCGCCAGCTTCAGCTCAGGAAGCAAGCCAGTTGCTGTAGTGAGAGCATTTTTAGTGTTGCGTATGGCCTCAATTTCTTCTGGCAACAGTGATTTGCCCTTGATAAGCAGCTCGGCGAGGACTTGGTCGTGATCTTTGGTCGCGACGGTCGTCAGGTTGGGCTCGAGTAACGGTACCAAGCGACTACACAGCTCAAGCACAGAACGGACGGCGTCGTTGTACGTGCGTCGCGCCTGGATGAGGAGCCTCATAACGCCTTGGATACGCGTAGAAACGCCTTGTGTAAAGGTGTTCTGGTGCATCAACATTGTCTTGAGCATCGGGTCGAGCTCGCGCCACGGGTAGCACTCGTCAGAGGCTTCGTTGTACCGGAATGGGTTCGACGTCGTCATAGTACGTCCACCACTGATAGGCGTCGAGAAGAGACAAATAAAAAGTGACCGACGCCACCGTCCGCAACTCCCCAACGCCGGGGGTAAGAACCATACCTTGTTGAAGTGGCACAGACGGCAACTTGATACTTGATCATTTCTGCCACGTCATGGTATCCGGACGACGAGCGTCAAGATTGGCCTCGTTTATGGAGACGTTACTGCTTGGCCTACATCGAACCGAACTACCTTACAACACCATCGCAAAACAACTTGTTCGCTGCAGTCGCTGCCGCGCTCACGATGGTGTTGGACGACTACCTGTCCGGATGCGGCATCCGGACATGTGCATCAACTTGATACATATCAATGGCAACATCATGATGCATATGCTTACCGAAACTCGCACATGACAATAGTGTACATCGTTATTTAAATCATAGGACGTCGACCGATTGCAGCTCGAAGCACGGAAACGGCGACAAGTACGGCATGTCGTTCAGTGGCGCGAGCGCTTGGAGGTAAGCGTCGTTGGCTGTGAGCCACGTGTCGTCGACGAGGCCTTCGGTGAACGCCCCCATGGTGGCGCCGTCGGAAAATGCATACCCGCTTTCAGGGTTCAGCGACCAGACGTAGCCGCCAGCGTAGCCAACATTCGCTGGCGCCGAAAGCATGGCCACAACGAGCTGCGTCACGCGCTGGTTGGTGCGCTTGGGGTGCGTGTCGCGGGTATACAGGCCGCCAAACTCCCCGAGGACGATAGCGTTCGGCGCTCCCCTATACCACGCGTCATGACCAGCAAATCGAAGAACGGGACGTACGACGCGAGGTAGCCAAACATGTGCTGCATCGAGGTCTCAATGCGTGAGCGCAGCGTCACGTCGTCAAGCTCGACGTAGCTCTGCAGTGCGCCGTTGCTATCAACTGTGCCGCTCGCGTACATGTACGGCTGGACCGAGACGGACGGGTTGTAGTAGTGCGGCGCGTACACCACCTTGTTGGGTTGACTCAACATGATGGGAAGGCGGCCGGCGTTTTGGAGGCCACCGCCCCACCAGTCGAAATACGAAAACTGGTTGGGAATGTCGTGGGATGCCCATGTGCCCTCGACAAACGCCAGCCAGGACGGACAGCCCGCGAGCATGCGATTTCCGAGCAGCGTCGCGCCGGTGCGAAAGTCGGATGCGTCGTTTGTGCCCCAAGTTGCCTTCCACGGCTCGTTCTTGAGGTCGAGCCCGAGGATGTTCCAGTAGCTTGGTGCACATAAATGGGTCGTGAGCACGTCGACAGCCGAGAGGACGGCGTCTCGGGGCAATGATGCGCTGAACCAGTTGTCCCCCTTGTCGGTCGTCGTCAGCGTGTGGAAATCGAGGAGCACGGAAATGTTCTTGGCTCCTAGAGCGACCACGAGGCTCTGCAGCATGCGGACGTAGCTGCCAATGTCAAACTAGACAGTAGACTATGAGACACGTCGGCCAACGACACATTGTGTACGGCGCGGTTGGTATTCAAATTGATGAGGCGCGGGTCGGGCGCTGTGTTGCGAAGCAGATGCTCGACACAGAGCGGTATGCGCACGCTGTTAAACTTGTGCTCGGCCAAGAACGACGTGATGGCCAGCTATCCTGCAGCATCGTCCTCGCGTTCATCGTGCTAGAAGCCATATACATACCACCGTTGTACCGTTGACGCCATTGTCCCAGAGACCCATGGGAATCGCCGCGGCCGTCTCGGCGCCAAACCTACAGCCGCGTATTGATAGAGTCGACAATAGTATGGCGTCTTCTACCAGTTGATGCCCTTGATGCTCACACGCTGCGAGGTCCCGCCGTGTTCGACGTAGATGCCGTTGTTTTTGCTCACATAATTAGGCAACGCGCACCCTAGAAGGCCTCATTACGAGGACGCAGGAAGTAGAAATTCTTACGTCGCGTGGGGTACTGGCGCGGGTTGTCGACTTGGCCGTCGATCGGGTCAATCAGCGCGTCGTGCAGTGACGAGCCGTTGCTCGCAATGCGCTTGCGCTCGGCCGCCGCGAGGAGCTTGGCGCGGACGCGGACCATGGTTTGTGTGTGTACGTTGTCGCCGAGGTACGCCAGCAGCACGCCGCTTCCAAGCAGCAGCACGAGACAAAAGACGGCGCCTGGCCAAACCTACAGAGTACATGACGTGGCAGCGCGAGCGGCGTCGCGCACCGTGAGACGGCCGTGGTAGTCGCTCGGCTTTTCGTCGTCGGGCGATGCAAACTCGTGGTCCGATAACACGGGCACCGGACTCGGGAGAGGGCTCGAGGCGACGGCGACGACGATCGCCATTTTGGCGGATGGCACTCTCCCACGGACCTGCACCACGTTCCCCAGCTGGGTTCGACGCCACAAGACACAACATTAGCGTTATTAGTGCTGTTCGGATTCACTTACACAACGTAGTCGACAACGTACACGACCGACTACCCGACTCCAAATTCGAGTGATTTGACAATAATCAATTCAAAAGTGGTATTTTGCGGGCATGCTGGAACATGCAATTTCGGTGCACTGGTCTATTTTTTGTCGATGCAATTCCGAGGAAAAGACAGTAACCAAGCTTTTACAGCTCTGAATTATAAGATTTGAATTATAAGATTTGAATTTCTGAGGCGCGGAACGCTACATTCAGCGCAGCGAATCGGTTGGCAACTAATGTACAGTGCACGCATCGGTACAGTACATGAGGAGGGATACATGGGCACAAGTACATGTACGCTCCGCCGTGATGTTGCGATAGGGCGTGTGCCAAGACCAAGCGCGACTTCGCAAGCTGCTCGACAATGCTCCGCTCCAGGTGGCAGGTCGCATGCTTTCCGCGCACGAGGAACTCACCGCGGGACATGGTTTGGACACGAGTGCTATGGACGACGACGCTGTCGCGATCTGCTCTCGAGCTCTTTTTGCTCAAAGAAATGGCCGCGGTCCGCCTTGAGCCACAATGCCCAAACCCTTGACAATGTACTAGTACTAACTAGTACTAGTACGTATTACGCTCTGCCAAGTCATTGGCGTTGCACTTGTTTCTATTCACGTCTTGCATTTCATATCTGCCGCATCAGTTCTTAGGTGCATCGAGTATATATTGGTCGAGTTTGTAGTCGGTTGGAGATCACAACATGTGCGCCAAGAACAGATACCAGTAGGATAGATAGATATGGATAGATATGACGTATATTCGCGTTAAAACACACAGTACTAGGCTGTGTCCAGGAAGATGCCGCCATACGTGCACGGAAGAACAGCTGGAAGAACGACAGTGGGGACACCGGTACAAGCGGCAACGACCGCCTCGGTCAGCACGGTCCAAAGCTCCTTAATCTACCTCGTTTCTCTCGCAACCCCAGCGCCAAGTGGTTGGCACTGCTGTTTTCTTTGGTGCTTGATGCTGTCCATTCACACGGGTGCGGTCGGCCAACCAACAGAGTCCAAAACGACAACATCCAGTGGGTCAATGCAGTGTATCGAAAATTGTATAAATTCTCACGCAGAGTTGACGAATTTACTTGGTTTTCTTGGACTCGCCGGCGTTGGTTATGTACTTTTCGATGACGTCGGCCTTCATGCGGTCAAAGCCACGCGGTAGCTGCATGTAGGCTTCGACGGCCTTGGGGATGCGGAGCACCGAGTCGGGCGCGTGCTCCATGTAAAACGCCGTGAGCCAGCGCGTCATGGCGCGTTCCCTTCGCTTCCGGAGAGCCCACGGCAGACCGAAAAAGAGCGTCAGGAGTAAACTCGCGACGACGACGCCGCCGAGAATGCCGTCGCCAAAGACGTACGCCATGCTCAGATTGAACGCGAGCCAGCTCATGTTGTACCACGAGAGAAGATCGTCGATCTTGTCATTGTCGATGCGCGCATCAAGGTCGGTCGGCAGCTCGACGCCCGCGACCTTGATGAGCGACTCGAGCTGGCCCTTCATCATGTCGTCGATTGCGCCAAGGCCGCGCAGGTCACCGGGAAACGCGCGGTGCTTGACGGCCGAGTTGTCAAACTGGCGCTTGACACCGCCGTCCGGCGCGTCGCTCTCGGTCATGACGACACCGAGCACGTCTTGGATCCGGTCGATCTGCTCGGGGCTGAGCACAAAGCCGATTGTATTGTCGCCGTCGTTGGCCTCCTTGCCGAGGGCGACATCAATGACGCTCTTGAGCACCTCGTCGGTCTTGGCCTCTTGGAACGCAGGACCGTTGTCTTTGGCGAGCACCAGGAGGCACGGCAGCGCGGTGCAGGCAAGAAGGAGCAGCTTCATGGACGCTACGGGGTGGCTGGGCCCTGGCGAGCAAGTCGGAAAGTGCATTGCTACCTGCTTCTGCCCTTTCAAGATACCGCCCAGTCGTTCGAAAAAACATCGAAGTTTTTAAAAGATACGGTGATCGGCTAATCGCACGCCTCTTTTCGTGTCATGAGGCTGGCCCAAGTCGGGACGACAAGGCCTCGACGTGCTTTCATGGCGTGAGCTATACATGTAACTCCTTGTTTCCTGCCGTACATCGCTGCGTCTTCACGGCGAGGTGCACGCGTCGTATCCAGCGAGAGCTCGTTGTGTCACAGGTTGCTTCCAAGTAATGTCGGTGTTGACAACTCACGAAAATCGATAGCTTCGTAGCATAGGGACCTGCGGGACTGCTACTGCATTGGGTCCGATTCGAATGTGGTATCTTTGCCTCGTTCGGGTGGTGATTTAGTTACGCGGGGTGGCTGACCGAAAAAAGGTTGCGTGCGTCTAGCCACTGCCGAAGCGATTTCCGCACTTCGAAGCTTCTATGGATTTTAGCCAATCACCGCGTGGCGTTCCATGGAAAGGTGTGCGATCTTTGGCCGCTGGTCCGTGTCATTCGCCTTTTCTGCAGCCCGAACGCAAGCGGTATGAAGACGACGATGCTCCTCGGCGCGGCGCTCGCCGCGTGCGTGGCGCTGACTGGCGCCGACGTTGCGGCTGCGGCGACCGCGGCCTCCACCTCGTTTGACGCCAAGATGGCCGAGCAGGCCAAGAACCTCCACAAGTTCATGCCTGGCCCGACGGGTCCTGGCTTCAAGGACAAGGGCATGACGAACCAAGGAGATTTCGAGCAAATGGGCCGGTTTGGCATCCCCGACTTGAACAACCCGACGGCCGAAGACCTCACGGACCTCAACTTTGACACGGCGATCGCCGGCGATGCGTACGTGGCTGTCCTCTTCTACGACCCGAACATGGACGACTTTGAGTTTGTCGGCTTGCATTGGGAGAAGGCAAGCATGGAGCTCCAGGAGAGCGGTCGGTCGTACACGTCGGCCTCGATTCGCATGGCGCGGTTCGACATTTCCGAGCCCGAGCACGGCGAGATTGCCGAGCTCTACCGCGTCGACAGCGACAAGCCGACGATGCTGCTCTTCAAAAATGGCTCGGTCGTGCAGCCGATCGACGCGCGCGGCGGCCACACGGAGATCCAAGCAATCATTCTCTCAGCGACACTGCCGGCCGTCACGCACATTACGTCGGACGCCGAGCTCAAAAAGTGGAAGCGCCGCAAGGTGTTTCAGCACGCCAACATCAAGTTTCTCGCCGTCACCGACGACGACGCGTCATTGTCGTCGTTCGAGGCCGTCTGCCGCGAGATCAAGCGCCGCGCGCCGTGCGGCTACGTCTCGGACCGTTTGCTCCTTGGCGCGATTGACGTCGACGCCAACGCGCGCCATTTCCTCGTCCGCGATTTCGATGCGCCCCGCGTCATCCCGTATCTCGGCACCGCCTTCACCGCCAAAGATGCACTTGACATGGTCGCCAACTACGACATGCCATTGCTGACCGACCTCGGCGACAAGGACGAGTCCCGCGTCCGCAACTTTCTCTCGCACCCAAAGACATTCCGGCTCCTTGCATTCTTCAAGACCGAGGCCGCCAAAGCCGCCGCGACTCCGCACCTCGAGGCTGTCGGCAACGCCTTTGGCCGCGACCTCCTTGTCGCCTACACGGTGGAGGACCCGGAAGACGCCATGAACTTCGACTATCATTTCTGGGATGTCCCGAGCAACGAGCCAGCGATCCTCGTCGTACACATGCGACGTGACCGCAAGTACCTCTACGCTGGCGCCGACGCGCACAGTGCCAACCAAATGCTGACGTTTGTCCAAAATGTACTGCGTGGCGACGTGCAGCCCAAGCTCAAGTCGCAGGCGGCGCCGACCCCCAACAACGGCGCGGTCCGTCTCCTTGTGACCAACTCGTTTGCAAAGGAAGTGTGGCAGGCGCCGCACCAAGACACACTGCTGCTATTGACGCGCAGCGACCGCCACGGCCCGTCGCAGTGGTTCACGCAGCAGCTCGACGTTTTCGCCAAGGTCTGGCGCCGTGAGAAGCGCGTCTTGGTGGCTCGCATGGACATGCAGCACAACGATCTGCTCGAGCTCAGCGACGACGAACTCGCAACGCTACCGAAGCTTCTCTACATTTCCCGGGAGGCCAAACGTACCAAGTCGCTCGGCGCCGCGATCCCGCAACTCTACCCGACGATGGACGAGCTACGCCAGTTTGTGCAAACGCACCAGAGCATGGATCTCGCGGTCGACGAGAAGGTCTGGGCGCGCGTGTACGCGGACGACCTCGAGCTCCTGCGCCAGCACCGCGAGGCGCAGGCTGCGAACACCGACATTGAGCACCCGGGCGACATTTTGAAGGAGATCGACGCCGAGATCCAAGCCATGCAACACATGGCCAAGGACGAGTTGTAGAGGGGTTGCATTACTACTTTCGGCTACTATAAATGACACATGTTTTGCACACTAAAGACAAGTTGTCTTCATTCCGCTACGACTACGTAAGCTGTGCAGCGGCGCCGCGAGGTGGTTGTGGTGTCAAGGCGCCATATGAGCAAACCCACGGCGACCACAAGCAGCAGGTGGTGCTGCATTCACTTGTCGAGTCAGCATCTCACCAAGGATCTTGATCATCTCACTACCGCCACGCCCTTTGAGGTGTGGGATCCGCGACAGCGTCGTCATTGGTCTTGGTCGACCAAGAGAATCCGCATTTCATTCCTTGCCATCGACCCTCTGGACGCGTATGATAAGGCTGTTGCGCTACGCAGCGCCGTTCGCAGCATTGGTACACTGTGACCGATTCCGCTCCTGGCAACAACCAGAACGTGACACCAGACAGAGGGTGGCCGTACTCCGTAAACACCGGCTAGTGTACAGGCTACCGGCTTACAAAGCAGAACGGAAAGTGGCTGCTAAGCTACGTCTCCTCACTGCTGCCAAGGGCTGTATAGTCTCACACCAACGGGCTTCTCCGTAGGACTGCAAACACACATCGCCTTGTCCCGGCCTAGTGGTGTTGACGTGGGCAAGGTTCACACCCAGTGCCCACCACGACGCCTTGTACATTCATAGTGACGCCATCGCCTCCGCTTCGAGTTGCATTGGCGAGACGACGACGTCGGTGCCAAGCGCGCCTCGCGATCGAAAATGCATCGGCCAATCCCAATGGGCCAATCCGGCTGCCTCGATTTACGAACAAATGAAAGGACAATTTCTTCCATCGAAGGTTAAGGCGCCGACGAAACACAGAGCATTTCGAGTTCGCATGCGGCGCGAGAGTAGCATTCGGACGCCCACCGAGGGCGACTACGCGCAGCCGACGTACCTCGATGACAAGCCCGACGTCACGGTGTACCGCGAGTCCGACATGACAGCGCGCGAGTCCATCATGGACGAGCTGCCGGCGATTCGCCTCACGCACAACGAGTCGGCGCGGAGTTTCAAGGGCCGCTACCGGGTACTGGCGTTGTATCTCCGCATGGTGTTCACGCTGCATGGCATTAGGTGTGGCCTGGTGTCCTCCTCCTTCTCGGGCTCACGGCCGTCGCCGCGGTGCTCATGGTCTACTTTGCCGACCAACAGCGCACGTCGATGCTCGATATCCGGCTCGCGGTTCAGATGCGCGAGTACAAGATGCGTCAGATCGACACGGGCTTGACGTCGGGGTCGGGCGCCGGCTTGCCGCCTCTGGTTGATACCGACGGGACCGTCAACAACCCCCAAGTGTACCCACCGCAGAGTACGCGCCTCTTTGATTGTGCAATGTGGCGATACTTCGATTTCTAGCGTGCAAGCTGCCCAACTATGTGAGCAAGAACAACAAGATTTACGCGGTCGCGCCCAATGGCACGGAAGTTCCACTGGGGATCAAGGGTCTCAACTGGTACATACTCGAATGTTGCGAATAATTGGCATTTGATTTCGGACTCTAGGTTTGGCATGGAAACGTAAGCTTCGTTGCGCCCTTTATTCCTCGATAGCACTGGCATTGATGGCGCACGCTTACTAGTGGGCAAGCGATTCCGTTTGGTCTCTGGACCAACGACAAGAACGGCACGACGGCGGTACGCTCCCACTTTTGAGTTTCAAATTATCGACTTGATACAAATCCTGTAGTTTCAAGTGGCCGAATTCCTCGTGACCAACAAGATCAATAGCATTCGACTGCCCGTGTGCATTCAGAGCATCGTCAACAACATCCAGCCGAACAAGAATCTCATCAACTCGGCCGAGAACCGCGCGCTGGACGTGTCGTCGTATATGGCGCTGCTCAAAAGCATCATTTCCACGCTCGCGTACCGTCGCATTTCGGTGCTTATTTCACTGCATACGCTCACGCCAACCGACTCGGGCGGCGCGTGGTTCAGCGACGCGGTCCCTGTCGAGATGGTGCGTCGCGTTCGATTTCATTATTCTATTATTTCGCATTTTTGATGTTTTTCGATCGCATTAGTTTATGACAGCGGTCGACCTGCTCACAACCAACCTCTGCAACGACAAGTACTGGAACATCATTGGCCTTGATGTCAAGAACGAGCCGCACCTCTCGACATGGGGCGACGACGGCCCCAAAGATTTCCGCAACGGCGCCACCGACATTAGCCACCGGATGCTCAAAGGCTGCCCCAACTGGCTCGCGTTTGTCGAAGGAATTGTCAACATGGGCCAACCCGTCTCGTTCAACGGCGTCGCCATGACGTACAACGACTGGTGGGGCGGCGGTCTCCAAGCAGCCGGCGCCAAGCCCGTCGTGCTCAACACCGCGCACAAGGTATGTCACCTTAACTTCTTGTCCATCATAACCGACGTCGGGGGTAGGTGGTGTACGCGCCGCACTATTACACCCCTGCCGTGTACCCCCAAGCGTATCTCTACGGCGGAGGCACATCTGGGCCGGGCGGCATCATCACCAAGTACGTTTCTTTCCATATCGACGCGACGAAGACACATCAACGCTAGCTACGTCGAGCTCTCGGACGCCGACCTCCGACTGCGGGTTTCGGGCACCATGGAAGTCATGTTTGGCCACTTGGCCAAGACCCATGACGCAGCGATCGTCCTCGGCGAGTTTGGCGGCCTCTACGCCTCTGACGCGCACCCACAGCGCACCACCAAGCGCTGCACCGACTATACGATCGAAGCGATGTTGCAACCGGGCTACTCGGGCGGGTACGTCTGGAGCTTGAACCCCGAAAGCGCATACCAGTTCAACCCCGCGGACGTCGCGGGCACGTTCACCGAGGGCGTTGTCCAGATCGACTGGCGTACGGCCAATCTACCCTTCGTCCAAGGCATGCAGGCCATGGACGCGCTCGCAGACCTTCGGCTCTTTCCGTGCTTTTCCTAAGTCCCCAAATTTACTGCATTTCTCTTTACGAAATCAAAGCTCTTTAGCACAGGTCCATGCTCGTCGTTCAGCTGCAAATGACCCGGACGACGGCAGCGGGCGTCAGAGCACCTGGAGCCTGTCACGCAATGCTCGCCTGGTGTCGTGTCCGACGACACGAGCTAGCGGACGCACGAGCCATCAGCGAGCGAGTCGACCTTGGATTCTATCTCTGTCCAGTAGCGTGCGTCCGACAGCCGCACATCGTGCCAACTCGGCTGCTGCTCGTTGCATTTGTTGTTTCAACTTGATATTAAAGTGGATAGATAGATTCTTGATACAGTGCGAGCCACCATGCATCGGCCTCCGATGCATCCGCGGCGACCTTGGACGTCTCTCATCCTATTCGCCATGTGCCAACGTCCTTCTGTCAAGCATGCTCGTAGCAATGGGTTGAAGCCGAGTGCACCGCTGTTGTCTCCGTTGCCTCAACTCGGCATCGTAGTCGCTACCAAGACGACCCTCGACCAAGAGGGACACGCAAGTTTGCGGAGTTATGCAGGAGTTAGTAAATTCTCATCACGCGAATACGTGGAATATCGACGTGCGACTTTATCGCGGGTCGCACGTGACAAAGCCGAGGTCCGGCATGTCGTTCATCTTGGTCGTCGCCGCGAGCTGGTTGGGGTTCGCCGCGCGCCACGTCGAGTCGAGAAGGCCGCCCGACTGCGGGATCGTCGAGTTGGGGCCCGGGTGCGGCCAGCTCTGGTCCGGGTTGAGCGCGTACCAAAAGCCACCAGCGATCGGCTTGGTGCCACTCGTCATGCGGTTGATGATGCAATCAATGACGCGCGACGCCGTGCTCTTTGGGTACAGGTCGTCCGTGCCGTAGAGACCTCCAAAGTACGAGAGCACGACCGGCGCCGTCGTCGACGTCAGAATCCCCGTAAACATCTTGGCCATCGCGTCATCAACCGACGCTTGGAGCGAAGACGCGTCGGGAAACTCCGTGTAGGACGAGAGGAGCGAGAGCCCTTTCGACTCTTTGAAAAAGTAGGGCTGTGGGTAGAGCGACGGCGTCCAGAACGGCGGCGCGTACACGACCTTGTTGGGCGTCGAGAGCTTGATCGGCGACTGCACCGCCGACGTCAGCGACGCACCGGGCCAGTCGGTGACGGTCTTGGCCGCGTCGCCCGAGCCAAACTTGGACGACGTTGTCATGCCCTGGACAAACACGAGCCACTGCGGGCACGCCTTGAGGATCGCGTTGCCCACTTTGGTCGCAAAGCTGCTCCAGTTGGTCTTGTCGTCGCCGTCCCACTGCCCGGACGCACCCGCGGGCACGTCCTTGACGTCAATGCCAACGACGTTCCAGTGCTTGGCGTTGCACATGGCGGTCGCGAGGCCTTGCACGGCGAGCTCGTACTGCGCGAGCTTGACGTTGATGTTCTCCCACCCGTTGCCCTGCAGGTCGTCCGACGAGTTTCGCAGCGACCAGTCCGTGACCGACCGGTCCGTCTGGTTGAGATCGGCGTCCGACCGCGTGTTAAAGTCAAAGACGACCGCGATTTGGAATTGACCGAGGCCTTCTGCGAGCGCCGTGAGCACTTGGATGTAGCGATTCAAGGACGCGAGCGCGCGCTGCGAGTTGGTGTTGAAGTTGGTCTTGACCATAATGTTGCGCGCCGTTGCATCCACATTGATCGGGAAGCGCACCGCATTGAAGCCATTCTTGGACAAGAACGAGCCGATTTGGTACTACAGACCAAAACGCAGTATGAGTGCCACGATCATGCTGTATGGTGGCACACGTACGAGCGTGTTGCCGTCGCGGGCGCCGTCCCAAAGCCCCGTGATCACGTGGTCGTAGCCTTCCATGCCACGCCAGTTGACGCCCTTGAACACGAGCGGCTTGTTGCTCGACGGCGTCTGCATGATGATCTGGTTGTTGTTGGTGACATAGTTGATTTGCGCGCAGCCCTTGTCGGCGTACTCGGTCGGGTTGGTCACCGATAGCGGCAGCGCCGACGAGTTCGTCGTCGTGCCCGAGCCGTCCGTGATCGTCGTGCCCGAGCCGTAGATGAGCGCGAGGTCCGCGTTGTTGGGCTGGCGGTTGAGCATGTCCTGGTGCGACGTGACGCCCCAGTAGCTCAGCCCGCCGATGGCGCCGAGGATACCGACCGTGAGCACAAGCGCGCCGGGCCACACGGACCGACGGCCGCCGAACTTCTGCTTCCGGCGGACGCTCTTGCCGTCGCCGACGTCGGCGGCCGTCTCGGGCACAGCCATGATATCCTCCGACGGTCGCATGCTGCTCGTCTGTTGCCGACGTGGAAAATTCGATTCTAATTATTTTAATCGCGTCGCACTCTGGTCCAAACGCTTTCTTTTTTTGTTTTGCGTGCGTGCGTCTATGTAATCCGCCTCAGAATAAAATGTTGGAATTAAATGACGCGTCCGCCTTCTATTTTATGACGCCGATTTGTTCGAATGCGATGTGACTTGCTTTCAGTATGCAAACTTCGAATCGTAGAGGGCCGGAAGAGATCCATACGTTAACCAAGTACGCGACCCTGCATAAAAATTGGCGCCGGTACAACCTCTCAAAACGCATATCGCACAGAACACTGCGTCTAATTGGACGCAACCAGTCGAGCTACTCGGATTTTTGACGCGATGGCTGATAGAGCAGCAGGAATCTTGGCCCTGCAGAGGTCGGTGGCTTGGTCACGCGATGCGACGCACGGTCAACAACCGTGCGCGTCGTGCCACACTCCAAATGCAGATATTTCAAGCGGGTTGTTCGAATAATTTCGAGACCTTCTCTCGTTCTGTACTGCGTCGTGACAAGGCGTCCCGCGCAAATCGCATTGCTTGTTGTAGTGTACATGGGTCCGCAAGGCCACGCAACGCCTTGGCGAAATGTTCCATGTGCACACGTCGTCGTCGTCTCGAGCTCGCTGAGGGTCGAGGCACTCGCCTTCAAGTTTGAGAACTGGCAAGGTGACTAGCTGCATATATGGAGTGAAAATAGAAAAAGCAACGAGCCAGCAAGTTGCACAGGATCTCGTCCGAGCTCGCTGCTGAGACCGCATTTGTATCGTGCTGAGTGGAGATTCGTGATGCACTTCAGATATCCGCTCTCGGGTCAGCTGCTCGGATCGTACACACTGACGCGGTGATGTGTAGCGTGGTTGCGAGATGTCCATCTTTGAGAGTTGGTAGCCGATGAATCTCGCGGACTCGACTTTCGAAAGTTGCGTGGAAACAGCCTCGCCACCTCACGCGACCTCTGAGATTGCATATCCGCGGGGTCATTGCGGTGTAATGAGCGCCAGAGCCTGTCACGCTGTGGACCCTGCGACAAGCACACGATCCGCTCCTGTCCAACACCGACCCCTTCCCTTGCTGCATCACGACCAAACCAGTGATTAATAGTTCCTGCACTCTCTTGTTCGTGGTAAATAGAAGAGGTACGACTAGCATGTAATAAGTCCCCTCTTTCTGCGCTTGCGATACCTGTACATGCGTTGACACGCAAGAAGCTTGCCATGCGCTGGCACCGTGAGCTAATTTCCCACGGGCGGTATTTCCCACGATGTGGGAAATCCCATCGGCGTGAGACACGTTATCCGGATGTACAGGTTGGATTGAGGCGCGATGGCGATGGCTTGGACGAGCGCCGCCGACGACCGCCTCGTCGCCCTTGTCGCCGCGCTCGGGCCGCGCTGGAGCACCATCAGTGAGCGCATGGAAATAGGTGCGTGGGACGTGCACGGTTGGCTTGGCGTCAAACACGCAACGTAGAGGGCCATCACTGGTCGCGCAAGCAGTGTCGGGAGCGCTACGTCCACCACGTCGATCCGACGCTCACGACGAGCGCGTGGAGCGACGACGAAGACGCAGCACTGCGCCGCGCCTACGCGCAGTTTGCCGTGGACCCTGCCAAGGTACCACAAACGTCTGCGACGACACGAGTTGGAATGCACGGGATAGGTGCCTTGGACGCTCGTGGCAGCGGCGCTGCCTCGACGCCGCAGTGTCGAGCACGTGCGCTACCGGTGGCAGCAAATGACGCGTCCACGGTGCGCCAAGCGCAAGCGGAATCAGGTACCGTGGAGCGAGAGCGAAGACGCGACGCTCGCCCAACTCGTGGCGCGGGATGCGCCGTCCTGGCTGCACGTGGCCGCCAACTTGCCGGGGCGCACGGACCTCCAGTGCCGACAGCATTGGAATCAAGTGCTGCAACCAACTCTGAAAAAAGGCAAGAATACGTGGTCTCCGGAGGACGACGCGCTTCTGCGGGCCAAGGTCGCCGAGCTCGGGTCCGCCTGGACAGAGGTGCGAGTAGTGTCCTCTCCACCGGACCGTTTGCCATTGCATTCGCAGATTGCCAAGAGCTTTCCTGGTCGACTCGGCAAGCAGTGTCGCGAGCGCTACCGCAACCACGCCGACCCTTCGTTGACCAAGGTATTTGACGCCACAACCATCGGTGACTTACTTACGTGGCAGGCGCCCTGGACATCCCAAGACGACGATGCGCTGCAAGCTGCGTACACGACGTACCCGCAGCAGTGGGCCCGCATCGCCGAGCTTCTGCCGGGTACATTCCTATGTTGATGTAAATGTGCAACACACACACGACACGCAGGCCGCTCAGAAAATGCGATTAAGAATCACTGGTATGCGCTGCAACCGGCACAGCCAGCGGCGCGACGGACCCGAGCGGACAGCCGTACGCCGCCGTGATGCGGGCGTTGGCGAGAGCCAAAATGTCGTTGAAAATTGCCGGGGTCTGGACGGACGCGCGTCGGAGTCGGCGCAGATGCGTTTCTGCGACATCCAGCCGACGCTGCGTAATCGCCTTCAAAATGGCGCGCTCGAGATCGGTGTCGTTCTCGACTTCTTCCCTTGTGTCGGACGTTTTTGGTGGTACGTCGATCTGCATTTGTACTGGGCGAGGCAGCCCGAGCTCGTCCTGGATCGATGGCGGCAGCTCGTCCCAAATACTTGCATCGATCTGGGACAGCGGCGGGGGACTTGGTACACGACGTGCCGGGCTTGGCGCACGGCGTGGCGGGCTTCGTGTTGGGCGCTTGGGGGGCCGGGGGGGCACCCCCGAGGCCAACGCTGCGGGTTTGCGCTTGACAGAGACGTCGCGTAGCTGTGCAGGCTTGCGAAAGGTCTGGCGAATCTCTTGCTGAATGGACGGTGGGAGCTCACTTAGGACGTCCGTGTCGATCTGCGAGTAGGAGGATGGCCATTGTTTCTCGGGGGCCCCGGTTCTGCGCGACTTTGGGAGCGATGTCAGAATCTCGTCTCGCAGCTCCCGAGGCAGTGTCTCGAGTACGTCGTGGTCGACCTGGGACAAGGAGAGCGCCAATGGGTCGGGACGTGGGCGTGTCGATGTCGTCGTCGATGGTCGTGGTGGCGTCGGCGTCGTTGCAGGTGGCGGTTGGGGTGGGGTCTCGATCGCCCGTCGGACCCATTGATCGAGACCGTTTGGTGCAACCGACGGCGGCGCGTCACCCGTACCGTTTGCCTTGCGGAGCTTGGACGCTTGGATACCAATGCCGCGAATGTCAGTGCAGACGACGCGAAACTGCTTCCAGAGCGACGTCGCCGCTGCGAGAATGTCGGCGGCATTTGCCGACGGCGCCGGGAGTCGCGTCGTCTTGCTCACCGTGTCGACGGCGCCACAGCCCAAAAATTTGCCCTAACCACATCCTCGAGTTGAGGTGTACGCAGTCATCGTGTACCGGCTCGACAGGAGCACCTTCCTGGCGTGTCTTGACCTTGACCGTCAGACTGCCCGCGACAAAAGCTCCTTTTACAAGGCGGGCCTGGACTTCTTTCGCGAGCTCAACCACAAACTCGAGCGCGTCCTTGTCCGTATCCAGCCGCACGCCGTAGCTGATCTCGGCCGAGAGTGACTTGGCCACTTGACTCAACTCGAGGGGCCGGTGGTCTTCACCACGCGCAAATCCCTGCAGCGTCAGTGCCGTCTTGGGACCAACGTGTGGCGTGAGGTCAGTAACACTCCAGCGTTGCAGCTCGGCGCACGTGGTGATGTGGAGCTCGTCTAGCTTTTGCTGGGTCACGTGCCTACTCAGGGGTTTGGCACACGACACTACGCACTCGACGTACCCGACACCCGGAAGATCCCGCACCGACAACGGGTCGACGTACACGGCCGCGTCCTTGGCAGCAATCGCAAACACCTTGTCGGGCTTGGCTTGCTTGGTCGCAAGCCTAGGCATGCGCCGTTATTGCATGCACTGGTAGAGAGGGCTAGGGGAGGGGTAGGGTACCGGGCCAACAGAATGTTGTGGGCGACTCCAACGCTGGCCGTGCACTTGGTGTGGTCCCAAATCGCTGCACGAATGGCATGGGCCAGTGCGAGGCCATTTGCGCCTTTGGGGAACTCGAGAAACGCCTCGTCGCAGCTCACGGCGTGGACGGCTGGCGTAAACCGGTAAAAGATGCGGTAAACATCGCACGAAATGCGCTCAATGGCCTCGAAATCGTACGGTAGCACGACCAGATCCGGACAGAGGCCTTTGGCCTACGAGTGAAGCGGATCAAATCACGGGTTCTTGTACCAGGAAATGATCGATACGCGCTCCATAAACATGCCGGCGCGGAGCCCACGCGCGCGGGCGACGTAGTTGCACGACGAAATTTCCGACGTGCCTTTCTTCTTGGGCTCGTTCGCAGGCTATCGAATAGCAATCGAAGTTGGCTCGAGAGATACGGTAATACCTGGGGCGTATCGTGGGACGAGTAGCCCGAGTGCGCGACAGCGACCGGGACAGTCTTGTACACTGGCGGGAGATTGCGCACAGCGACCGAGACAAAAAAGCAGTCCATGTCGACGTGCAAGATCACGCGCTCGGTGCTCTCGCAGTGCCCGTACTGCGAGGCAACGAATGGCGGCGCCGACGCCATGAGCTCAGCCGCGTGCGCCTGGAAAAAACTCTTCCACGACCCAATGTGGTGCAGCCGCGAGTTGTCAAAGAAATGACGCACAAAAGCCGGGATACCGTCCCGCGTCGAGAGTGCACGCGTCGCTTTGGGCGGACTACTGCGCGGCTTGGGCGGACTACTGCGCGGCTTGGGCGGACTAGTGCGTGTCGGCGACGTCGGTGCCTCGGTCCCCACCGGCGTTTGGGAGACCGACGGCAACGGTGATGCCACGACGGGTGGCAGAGGTGGAATTGGTGGTGTCGGCGGGTGGTCAAGTCGCGGCGTTGGCACCTTGAAGTGTCCAGATGGTGCTTGGACTTGCGGCGCGAACGGCGGCACTGACGGCGCGAAGGGCGACTGTTGCGATGCTGGCCGCGCGGCAGGTGCGGAGGTCACGCGAGGTGCTGGTGGCGCGGTAAAAGTAGGCAACGCGGGAGGTACTGGCAAAGTGGTTTGAGCTGGAGTCGTCGCCAGTGGCGCGAGTTGCAGCGTCTGTTGGCCGACCGCGCGGTAGCCTGCGTACAAGTAGGGCTGCGTCCGGCACACCCGGCCTTTCTCGATGCTGTCGAGGATCCATTTTGGGTGGAGGACGGGCAGTGGCTTCCGGGCGCGCCTACAAAAGTACGTTGACGAGGCGCTTGCAACAGCGGACGTACAAGAGCTCCTTGAGCTTGGACTCGGCGACGTGCGTTGCAATCATGTGGGTGACGCGACTCGTGTGGTACGCTTCGTACTGGCCACCGTGCTGCAAGATGAGCTGGCGCAGCTCTTCTCGCGGCGGCTCGGTGTGGCCGTTGACAAAGATCACGACGCCGTCCAAGAGGCGGTCGAGCCGCCCGATGCCGTCGTTCTGGCCGCGCAGCTTGCGAATCTTGGACGCCATGTACTGGCCAAAGCTCAGGTTGGGCGCCTTCTTGCTGAAGAGCGGCGGCGGCGCCTGTCCCGTCGCGTCCATCGTTGTCGATCCGACAAGGGCGCGAGACAGGCTGAGATGCTCACTCGCGGCAAAACTCCACAGTTTATCCGGATACATGACAAAACGCCGACTTGGGTTCAAAATTGCATCCGAATTGAGTTTCAGGTCCCAACGACAATCGAGTTGCAGATGGCACTTGTCCATCAACGCGCGTCTCGAGGTTGCTGCTGCGTAGGAGGAGCAGCGTCCAGGGCAGACTAAAGTACTCTGCTGCGCGCGGCATCGAGCTTGAGAGACCAACGTGGTGGTGGTCGAATTCAACAACGGACGCAAAGGCCATGGTCATCGGCTGGTACGAGTTGAGTCGGGGCGAGCGTAGCGTCTGGGATGCGGTGCGTTTGGCGATCGTCACCGTGCAGCCCAGGAATGACGTCGTCAGCCGCAAGGTTCAGTGACCCAAACATGTCGAGTGGCTTCCGCTCGAGCCCGTCCACCTAGCGCCCAACCTTGCTACTGACCACGGTAGACAGACAAGAGAATAGCATTTCATCGATCCATCGAGTTGCGCCTCGTAGTATCGACTACTAGTACGAAAGCTGCCTGTGACGCCTTAGTCGACTACTAGTACATTTTGTCCGTGTTGAAGAGTCCTTGGTATAGCTAGGTGACGCGGCTTCCTAATTCATCCGCCGTGACAGACTCGTCCATGAAGACTGCAGTACGATGGGGCACGCCACTCGGTCGAAAGGTCGGGGGTTGCGTTGCGTGCGATTAGCCCCGGTATTTTTGTAGCGATCTTTTGCAGTTTCTCGCCATTTGGGATTTCACCAATGTTTGGCCGGTCCAAGGTGCAAGAGCTCACGAAGAAGCCGTCGAGCATCACGGTGGGGAAGCCGGCGCTGGCCAAGAAGGCGACCGACGGACCGCGGAAGCCCGTCCACGCGCTCGGGGTCGATGCCATGCACCTCCAGGTAGCCATCATCCCGAGCTCAGGAGCATGATGAGGCGTAGCCTGGCGCGCGGGTGTGGGTCCCGGACAGCAAGGAGCTCTGGCGTGTCGGCGAGATCGAGACGCTTCTGCCCGATGGCAGCGCCAACGTCTTCGTCCCCGACAGCCCTGACGACAAGCACCAGGTACATCCTCCTCTGCCGGAAGCGCGCGATGGCATGCGTTGCAGGTCGTGGCGACGGCAGCGATGCTCGCGTTTGACCCGTCGCACTTGGTGGACCACACGGACATTGCGCAGATGAACAATATGCACGAAGCGCCACTGCTGAGCGTGCTCCACCGGCGGTACCTCGCAGACGCGATCTACACGTTCACGACCGACATCTTGATCTCGGTCAACCCGTACAAGAGCATTCCGCTGCTGTACGACGTCATGGGCTTTATGGAAGCCACCAAGTCGCAAGCCGACTGCGAGATCAAGAAGCCCCATTTGTTTACGATCGCCGAAAAGGCCTACCGGGACATGCGCAACGCGCGGTGTGGCGAGACGAACCCGCAGTCGATCGTTGTGAGCGGCGAGAGCGGTGCGGGCAAGACCGAAGCGTCCAAGCACATTATGAAGTACCTCGCGGTTGCGAGCAAGCTGGCCGAGGGTGGAAAGACGTCCAAAGCCGACGCGTCGCTGCACGAGAAGATCGAGGAGTGCGTCCTCCTCTCCAACCACGTCCTCGAGTCGTTTGGGAACGCCAAGGTACACGCGCTTATGGACATTGATGTGTCGATATGAGTGGTAGACGTCGCGCAACGACAACAGCAGTCGCTTTGGCAAGTACATTCAGATCCTCTACAACGGCGACGGGCGCATGAACGGCGTTGCCATCAAACACTTTTTGCTCGAGAAGACGCGGATCGTGGCGCCCGAGACTAACGAACGCAACTACCACGTCTTTTACCAGGTACACCACAACTGCAATCTCGAAATGCAATATCAAAGTGCAAACTCAAAGTGCAACCTTGTTAAATATTCTGATGGGACTAGATGCTTGCCGGCTTGGATGCGAACGAACGGGCCGCGCTCGAGCTCCAGGATGCAGCCCACTACAACTTTTTGACGTACGGCAACTGCCTCGAGATCGACGGCGTCGACGATGCGAGCGACTTTCGTGTGCTGCGCGCGTCGATGACGCAGCTCGGCTTTGCGCCGTCGACGCAACAAGAGATCTTTCAGGTGCTCGCGGGTGTCCTCAAGCTCGGGAATGCGCGGTTTTCCCTTCGCGCCGACGACCGCGAAGCGTGCCAGTTTGCCACGAGTGCGTCGTCGCGTTTGCCGCTGCTAGACTCATGCTGCTACATAGACGTCCCTGTCGCCAAGATTGCGGGGTTGTTTCGCGTCGCGGCCGACGAGCTCGAGGACAAGATGACGACCCAAACAACGGTGACGGGTCGCGGCTCGATCCTCCGCATCAAGCTTTCGTACACCGTCTTCATTGGGTGAGCATAGGTTGATGGCTGTGGCGTAGGTGCGACCAAGCCGAGGTCGCCAAGCAAGCGTTATGCAAGTATCTCTACGGCGAGATCTTCAACTACATCATCAGCCGCCTCAACGCCATGTGCGGCGAGCACACCAAGCCTGGAAAGCACCCGTTCATTGGCATCCTCGACATCTTTGGGTTCGAGATCATGCCCACCAACAGCTTCGAGCAGCTCTGCATCAACTTTGCCAACGAGATGCTCCAACAGCAGTTTAACCGCCACGTCTTTGTCCTCGAGCAGGTACGTCTTGTTTTCACGCTATAAGTGCTTGAAGATACAACGCTTTATGCAGGAGCGGTATGCGTCTGAAGGCATCTCGGTCTCGGTCATCGAGTTTCAAGACAACCAGGCAAGGCAACTGGATTCTTTGAATCCAGATTCTGATGGCTGGTGTAGGAATGCTTGGACTTGATCCAGAAATCCCCCGCAGGAATCTTTCCGCTTTTGGACGAGCAAATCATGCTCAAGCGCAAGACCACGGACCGCCAGTTGCTCAACATCTATCACCAGGTCGACTGTGACGAGCCTGTGCACCGAGCACCACTGATCATGTATGATTAGACGCATCTGGACAAGCACCCGCACTACGCCAAGCCCCGATTTGAGTCGGATGATTTCGTCATCAAGCACTATGCGGGCGACGTCACGTACTCGGTCCACGGGTTTGTGTCCAAGAACACGGACAATCTCCACGAAGACTTGGTCGAGCTGCTTCGGACGAGGTAGTGTATATGTTTCCCGTCCGAGTCCAACACGAGCGTCCTGTAGCCAGTTGCCGGTGCTGAGCGCGATCTTTGCACCTGCCCCGCAGCCGATATCGTTGCGGCACTGCGAGAGCAGTGGCACGCCGACACACCGGCGCCAAGTGAGCGTCGCCCTCGTCGGGTCCAACACGGTTGCGAGCAAGTTTCGAACACAAGTATTCTATCAATTTATCGACTTGGGGAATTGATGTTTGGTAGCTCACGGGGCTCATGGAGATGCTTGGCAGCACGACGCCCCACTACATCAAGTGCATCAAGCCCAACAACATCAAGTTTGCCGGCGGCTTTAGCTCGCAGCTCGTGCGCGATCAGCTCGTCTACGGCGGCATTCTGGAAGTCATCAAGATTCGACAGCAAGGGTACCCGATCCGCCGGTACCGTGGCCTCGATTTTTGTCCGTGGATACCATTCTTGATGTTGGAGTAGACCCTTTAACGACTTTTATCAAACGTTTGCGATGCTGTTGCGCGGCCGACGTCGCGCCGAGGGACCGGCCACAGACACGATCGAGCTTGTCCGGTCGATCTGCGAGTCGTCGCTGCTGCCGAATGCCTTCCAGATTGGCAAGCGCGAGGTATCTTTGCAAAGTGCCTCGAAGTCATCGCTGCATGCGTTCGTAGGTGTACCTGCGTTACGGGCAGCTCGAGCTGCTTCAGTCGGTCTTGACTGGTATCAAGGGCGAGATCGCAACCGTGCTGCAGTCCAAGTTTTGGCGTTGCCACTCGCTTCGCAGACGGTATCAGCAACTTCGCACTCGCGTCATTACGCTCCAAGCCAAGTGGCGTCAGCGAGCGGCCACCAAGTCGTACGCGGCCCTGCAGCACTATACCCGCAAACTTCAGGTTGAACTATGTGACGCCAGATTGCACTTGCAAAATGATATGTGACGCAGGCGAATCGACGCTGCAAGACGCTTTTGCGCCTGTACGCGCGCAAACAAGCAGCCGCGATCCGGCTGCATGCGATTGCTCGGGGCTTTGCCACTCGCCAGTACGCATGCCTAGTTTGTGTCTCGGGAAATGAAACGTATGACGTGGCAGGCGCCTGGTGCGGCAGGCCAAGATGCAGACTGCCGCGATTGCAATCCAGCGTATTGCACGAGGATTTCTTCAGCGCACCAAGGCCGAGCGCGCGCTGCGCTGCCGCATCAACAGCGCGGTGACCCTCCAAGCGCGCTTCCGGGGCTACCTCCAGCTCCGCCGCTTCCACCGCATGTACGAGTCGGCCGTGACGATCCAAGCGCTGTTCCGTGCGCATCGCAACCGCCAGCAGTACCTCCGTGGCAAGGTACCGTCCTCTTGTTCCGAGAAAGGCCAACACGTCGCAGGCTGCGATGGTGGCGTCCCAAGCGCTCATCCGCAAGATTCTGCAGCGGAAGCGCTTCATGCACCAGCGCCGCATGGTCATTCGTCTTCAAGTACGTCACCAGCCTCCTCAAGAGTACCCTATACAGGCTGCGATGCTAGGCGTTTGCTCGCATGGTGCCGCCGCGAGGTCGCTACAGTCGCCTGCGCACCGCAACGGTGCTCGTGCAAAGCTTACGCCGCGGCTACACCCAGCGGCGCCGGTACCTCGCGCAGCAGCACGCCCGTGCCACGTTGCGGTCGCACCTCGTCATGTATGTGCACAAGCGACGCTTCCGCGTGCTCCGTTGCAGCACAATCCGCATTCAGGTATCAAGCTAGAGACGTGTGGTGATGGTGCAGCATGGTTTGTAGCGTGCGCTGCGTGTGTACTTGAGCCGTCGCGCGTATATTCACGCTCAGCGAAGTGTGCGCAAGCTCCAACGCACCGTGCGGGCCTATTTGCGCCGTCGCCGTCTCGCCATAATGCTCCAGCACCTTCGCGACGCTTGTGTCCGGCGCGACGCGGATGCTGTGATCCTGGCGCTACGTCTCTCGCCCGAATACATTTACATCCGACACAAGGCCGCCGAGATGCGGTCGCTTCTTCACGTTGCCGCGTGCGCCGGCGACTTGAACGTCGTCAAGTACATTTGCTTGCACGCCCTCGAGACGCTCCATGCGCGCAACGCAGCGGGGCACATGCCGCTTCATGACGCGTGTCTGGCGTCGCGCTTGGACGTGGTCAAGTTTCTCGTTGCCTTCGCCGCCGAGAAGGCGCCCATGGATCCCGCCTTTGACGACGGCGACGAACGAGGCATGACCGACAGCCGCCGTCTCCGCGAAGCGTCCAAGTCGTACATTACGAGCGCGGTCGATGCCAATGGCGTCACGGTGCACACGGGGTTCCTCAAGAAGCGCCGCGAAGCTTCGCGCTGGTCCAAGCGCTTTGTGGCCCTTCGCAACACGCACAATGTACCCGAACTGCACTATTTCAAGTCGAAATCGCAGACCAAGAGGTCGATTCAACCGTCAAATGTGATATGGTATCGCATTCGATGTGCGTAGTGACAAGGTCCTCGACATGCGCAAAGCGCTTTTCAAGAAATGCGCCGACATTCCGTTTGCGTTTGAAGTGCACTCGCCCGAGCTCCTCGAAGGGTATAGTAAGGGACAAGCAAAGATTTGTTTCCTTAGTCGTCGACATAGACGCAACCGCGAGGGCCGACTTTACTTTCAGGCCGAGAGCGAACTCGAGCTCCAAATGTGGCTCGCCTGCCTTCGCGACACCGTGCCCACAAGTCTCGAGCACCGGTAGTGGATACGACTTTGCACTTGGCCTTTCTGAGTTTGCACTTGTAGGCTCTTTGCGATGCAGCGTTCAAGCGCTAGCATGCACTTTGTGAGTCGGTCGCAGCAGCAAGCGTGGTGCAACGTGCCGACGCGCGACGGCGAGAGTCCGCTGCACCTTGCGGTCCTTGGCAAGACGACAGCCGACCCGCGGGATGCTGTGAAAGCCGCGTTGTGGTTCCTTGAGAACACGGCGTCGGTCGACAAGCTGCCATCATCGCGCAAGAAGTCACTTAAACAAGTGATTCAAGAAACGAACCAAGTCCTCTCACCGCTTCTAAGCCCGACGACAAAGCTCGACTCGGCCGAAATCGACGCCATCAAGCTAGTGCTCTGGCTCGTCGAGCACGGTGCTGACATGAACCGCATCTCGAGCCTCGCCAAGAAGACACCACTCAAGCTTGCAATCGAGCGCAACTACCACACGCTCGCCAAGGTACAGTCTTCATACGTTCAATGTCTCAAGGGGATATGTAGTTTTTGCTGGATCGGGGTGCAACGACGGCCGAGCTCTCGCCGTTCGAGCTCACTGTCGTCCAGTCGCTCAAAGCCGAGCTGGCCAAGATTGTCGTCACGAGCGTTCAGTCGAGCGCGTCGAAGAAAGGCGAGACGCCCATGGTCTTCCTCATGAAGCAGCCCGGCCTCGTGCGCCACAGCTCGTACCTCTCGGTCTACGTCGAACAGATCGGCTTGCCAAACGCCCAGCACCTCTCCCGTCCGCGCGTCATTGTCTCCGTCTACGGTACACACATCTATCGTGGTGCACATGGCTGAGGCGAACGCCAGACGTATCGAAAAACTTGATTGAGAAGAAGCAGCTCGTGACGTGTCTGCCGCTGGCCCAAACGTCGCTGCTCTACTATGGCTTTACCTGGTTCATGCAGACGCCGTTCGAGAACCTCCCATCTGGTACACGTATAACTCGAGCACAGTATCTTGATTGTCTTGCCAGGAGCGTTTATCGTGTTCGAAGTCCAAGCCGCGTCCAAGCTCGCAGACGACATGCCGAGCTCGCCCAAGTTCAACGAGACGCAGGACATTTGCTGGACGTTCATTCACATTGACCAGCGCTCAACGACGACGTGCGCGCTCAACGCCGAAATGTACGCGCACCCGGTCGACCTCAAGTTCAAGAAGCTCCAGCGCTTTGACGCGTTCATCTCCGGCGACATCTCGGTCCTCCACGGCTAAGACCTTCCTTCATATATGAATCTCTCTACGATTTGCTTGCATATTCTATATGTCATTCATGGATCAGCTGTGTCTCGGTCTGCACGGGAGCGTTGAAAGATTGAAGGTTGAATGATTGATATGGACAACGTTTACCAACTAGAGTCGACCACGCTCGCGTCGGAGCTCTATCCGAGCGCTAGACGGTGCTGGCGACGGGAGGACCGAACCGCCCGATGGTCGAGAACCAAGTTGAGAAGCCAATCGCGGCCAAAAGAACGGCGCTGAGCGACACAAAGACGAGCGTCCTAAAGGCGTGCGGGTCGGCGAACGCGATGCTCACGAGGAGCATGCCGATGTAAAAGAGCTTGGTCGTCGCGCTCTGCATCGCATTGATGGTGCCGCGGCGCTGGACTTCGACCCACTCTTGCATGATCTGCGTCTCGGCAAGATCCGCGCTCCAGAGCCACGCGCGCGAGAGGAGCACGGCCACGATCATGACGTAGTCGGTGATCTGCACCTGCCCAAACAGGAGAAAGGACGCACCGACTGGCAGTAGCGTGAGCCAGAAGAGCCAGACGCTCACGACAGCGACGCGCTCGACGCTGCCAATTCGTTGCACAAGCAGCGGAAACAGCAGCGTGCCGAGGAGACCAAAGAGCGCGCCAAGACCCGACGTGGCACCTAAGCATATTCCATCGAGGTGAGAGAGCTCTCCAAATGAACAGAGAGGAGAGTGTACCGAGGAGGGAGAGCGCGACGCCGCGCCATTGCAAATACGCAATGTTGAGGCCGCTGCCCGAGAGCACCGTCATGTAGAGTGCGCAGTAGGCAAAGGAGACGAGAAACGTCGGGTGGGCTGCGTATGCTGCCCACATGGACGTGTACTGGCGCAGCGACAAGGTGGCTTTCGGCTTGGCGCTCTCAATGTGCGACGAGTTGGCGAGCGCTGGCACGAGCGCATAGACATCTCGCACCATGGCGTACTCGAGTGGCGCCGACATCAAGTTCCAGACACCGACCGCCGCCGCCCCTATGTCGCGATTCGAGAAGGGAGCGTAGATTGTAGAGGGAAATACCAACGGTCGCCCGGGTCATGGGGTCGGAGCCGGCATAGTCCATGAGGATACCAAAGGCCGCCGGCGCGAGCAGCTTGCATGAGAGGTCGATGCGACGCATCGTCGTGTTCCAGTCGCCGAGGCGCGTCGACGTCTCGGTCGCAATGACGACGACCCAGTCCTTCTCCAGCGACAGCGTCTGCGCGTCGCTAAACACTTGGCCGACCGCACCGAGTGCGATCGTGCACCCAAACAGCAATGTGAGCGGCCACGTCCAATTCCACTGGAGCCTAGTGGCAGGTGGCAACACTGTGATTGGCTGTAGAAAGTGCAATTTCATACGTGGCAGCGCCATGAATGAGATAGAGCATGCAACCGAGCGTGCCGGTACTGAGCAGCACACACGCGTTCTCAACAACAATCGAGACGTTAAGGACGGTCATGCGGCTCGTGTGGTCGAGCCACTGCCCGAGCGACGGCACGGCGGCGACACCAATGACGTAGACGACCTACGTCCGAAGATGACATCGCACAAAAAGAATCAGTTGCGTACTAGCGAAAAGACGGCGCTCGGCAGCAGCGTATTGACAAAGATCTCCATAAAGAGCAGTGGGATCGCAAACTGCCACATGCGATCGCCCTATATGATGGACACATTGTCATCTTTCGAAAAAACAGAAATTGGTATGTACCCAGGCCGACATGAAGTGGCTCGCATACATGTAGGCGTGAACACGGGCCGTGACGCATACGCCCTTTCCATCAACGAGCCGCGACGTCGGCCTACCGGTAGTCCACAAGCTAAGGGTCGTGACGTCGATGCAACAAGGCGTACGAGGACAAGAGTGCCCTCGCTTCGCTACTCGCCGCGCGGTGGTCGCGGCGGAACGCGAGGACGCAGTAGAGAATTGGCAGCAAGGTCGCGGCGCCCACCATGGCCATCGGCAGCACAAATTCATTTGGCACAGGGCAGTCGTCGGGCGCCACGGCACAGCCTACAAACACAAGAATGCTGTTGAATAGTCCTTGGTAAAGCTTCGTACCACCGCTGACGCTGAGGAGCGCGAGACTGGCGGCGCCAAGAAGCGCACCGATCCGAAGCGTCGCGTCCATCACTCGTCGACTTCAACAAAATAGGAAAATGAACCGTCGTCGATTCACCAAAGCCAAGGAAATAATGGAACCTTTGCGACGCTGGACCGAAACGAGGCGACAACGGCAACCAGATGGTATGTCATGGGCTTCAATACATTTGTCTGCACCACTCGGCCTTTTGTTGGTTTGGACTCTTGTTTACCCTTCAACGCCCAGTGCAACTGCGCAGTCGACATGCCCAGATGCGATTGCTACTCGTGCAGCAGCAAGCGCAGATCCATACAAGGCTCACTGGATGCCACACGCGAAATCGGGACCTGCACTCTTGACGATTCCGCCGGCGCGCCTCTCTATCTGGGTTCAGAGAAGAGAGCGTCAGTTCAACGACCTGGGGTCGTGATGGCGCATTTTGAAGCACCCGTCAAGTTGTCCAGAGGTCGAGCTATACAATGTATACTAGTGGTAGTAGTAGGGACAGCGATGCTTTTGTACCGACGAAGGTGCCTGCGCTGTCACGAGTAAAGACGTCAGCAGTGTCACTTTGACGCCAACGAAAAGGCTCAATCAAGGACGGCTTTATCTCAAGCATCATGCTCTGGTCCTACAGGCAGCATCGGTTCTCACAACCACTCAGACGACCTGAACTCATACGACCTGAAGCCTGTCGGCCGGCCTCGAGTCTGGCCCGCAAGCCATGTCGATGCCACCGCCTCGCAGCTGTCACCAGCCCGAACACCGATGGGGCACGACGAACGAGGCCGCTGCCACGTGTGCTTACCACCGACATACTTGTCGCTAGCCACAGCCTGCAACAGCGACGCTCTGCCCACTTGTAGTGTCTTGGACGCAATGCAACACACAAAATATACATTCAATCCGCGTTAGGGGCGATAGTAGAACGTGTGGCCGTTCGGGCACATGTACTGTCCAGGTTGGCTGCCTGGCGGCATCTGGACGCGGGTCATGCACGACGGGCACTGGCGCATGACGATGCCGCCCGACGGTGCGCGCAACGGCGGCGGCGCCGCGGCCGACGACGGCATTCGCAGCGTAAAGAGGTGGCCGTTCGGGCACTGCAGTGTCCCCCGCGCAGTCGAGCTCACAAGGCACCGGATGCGGCACGCCGGGCACTCGACGATGACGTTGCTCGAGCCCGCGCCCTGGGCTTGCTGGCGTGCGCGCTCGGCGGCCGTCGGTGTGTGCGCGAGCGAGTGGCCGCAGCCCTCGCAGGCTTGGCCGCCTGTGCCGCGCTTGCCGCAGTTGGTGCAGCACGGGTGCGCCTTGGCGAGGCCAGCCGTCGGCTCGGGCCACTGCGTCTGCACCTTGCGGCAGATGGGGCACTTGGTCGCATTCGCCTCGTCGTGGTTGACGTTCTCAAGGAGGCAGGTAAAGTGAAACTTGTGGCCGCACTCGCCCGTAAAGATGGACTGCCCGAGCGACTCGAACTCGTCGAGGCAGATGGGGCACTCCTCTTGGTCCATGAGCAGCGTCACCTTGTGGGTCGTCTCTTGGGGCGTCGCCGCGGCCTTGGCCTCGGTCGCCACCTTGACCAGGAACGGCGCGGCCTCGCGCAGATCAATGTCGCTGTGCGACCGGACGAGCCGTGCTGCCATGGTCTCAAAACGGCAATCTCGGTGTCCCTTCTTGCCGCCTTTTTTATAATGCTCCACGCTACATACAAAACGTAAGCTATTTTTAATCGCTGGCTGCCGAGTCGTTTTCGCTTAGTCGATTTCCGACTAGGAATTACCCGACGCCGTTGGACACACCAAGTCTGGACAAGATGGACAAACGTACATATAATACCTACTAATACACGACAGTGGGCCAAAGACCTTCTTGCGCCGATCGGTGAGCTGGCCGAACTCTGCTATAAGATCTGCTATAAGATTGATGCTTGCCAGTCCGAGGGTATCCGTTGCCGCCAAAAATCTGCGCCGAAGCACTTGTGGGGCGTCGCAGCATTACGTAGCAGGCACTCCTACCCAAGCGCAAGGTCGTCGCAGTGTGTGCAAGGCGCCCTCTACTGCTCGCTACGATTTCACTCTGCTCTCGCCACTTCTTGTGCTTTGCGTTCTATCCCACTACGCCAGATAGGACATATATGGTGTGGCCATGTGTCCTCGGCCTCGCTATCGCAGTGGTTTTACCGCGCCTTGCCAGCGCATACGCACGCACGTCGAAGTGTTCTTGGTCCAAGCAGCACATGGTTCGAACGAACGCAATCGTGCGATCTTGGCGGGGATCGAACCTCCGACCTCCAGCCGCCGCAACGTCGAACGCGAGACACCTATTCTATCTATATGTGCAGTGGTGTACTTACTAGGTATCGCTCGAGCAGCTCGCTCCACATGTATTAGCGCTACTCGCGGCCGCGTGGCTTGTAGTAAAAGGCGTGCTGGCGGGGACAAACGTACTGCCCCGCTGGACTACCAGGTGGAATCTTGACGTCGGTGCGGCACATGGTACAGTGCACGGTGGCGGCGGACGTGGCGCGACTCCTCGCTGAGCTATTGTTGCTCGAGACAGGCGCCACAAGGGCAAAGACGTGTCCGTTCGGGCACTCTACGCGACCTCGTGCGCGCGTGCTCACTAGAAACTGAACGTGGCACACATAGCACTGCAGCGCGACGTCGTCCGGCTCGAATGGCTGGCTTCGCGCCCGCGCGCGGGGCGTGTCGGCGAGCGAGTACCCGCAGCTGTGGCACCACGGATCACCGACGCTACGGGTGCCGCAGTGTGTGCAGAACGGGTGGGCATTCGCGCGCCCGCGGGTCGGTGTCGGCCACTGCACTTGCACTTTGCGGCAGATGGGGCACTTGGTCGCGTTCGCTTGGTCGTGGTTGATGTTTTCGAGGAGGCAGCCAAAGTGAAAGGCATGGCCGCACTCGGCGGTGAAGACCGACTGTGCCGCGAGGTCGTCGAGGCAAATGGGACAAGTTGTCTTCGTCTCTGTCGACCTGCGGGTGCCGCGGCAGTCGGGTGCCACAGAGAGATGGCTCTGCGTTCGCGCGCGCCGCATGAGAGCAATTGTCAACTGCGACCTTGCAGCATATCTTGTGTGCACCCAGTTGCAATTTTTGCCGTCGGAATTCCGGATTCTTATCCGGACATTAGTAGTTAGTCGAAACCCACATAGTCGGCATTCGACTAAAGTCGACGTGGCCGCGACTTGTGGCTTGTTGTCGAGATTGCGAAGATCATCCAAGCATGCATCCCGACCTTGGCGGCCTCTGTACGACGACGACGATGAAGATGACGCATGGAGACGGTGGCTCATGCGCTCCTGCTGTAGACAAGACGCCCGTGACCTATGCGTACCTCTGCGGTACGGGCCTCGCGTCCGGGGCCGCGCTCTTCCTCGACCGCGCCCATGACCTGCCGCTTGGTGCGTCGCCGACCCTGTCGACCAGCGAGGGCTTAGGACTGCTGCGTAGATCTCACGATGGTGACCCGCTACGGCCAGTACTGGCGGCTCCTCACGTGCCACTTTGGCTTTCAGAGGTGCGCGTCCTTCCTTCGGTCCTGCATGTGCCCATGCCATGTAGTGGCATGTCGGTGGCTTTTGGCATCTACCTCATCTTCCACTGCCGCCTCATCGAGCGCCAGGTAGCCATGTTGATCCCTCCGTGCTCACGACGATAATCCGTTGTCCTAGTTTGGCTCCAAGAAGTTTGGCAGCTTCGTCGTCCTCGTGCTCGTCCTCTCGACGCTGCTGCAAGCCGCATGCTTGAAGGCCAAGGTGCTCCCATCGATCGCGAGCGGACCGTACGCGCTCATTGGCGCGCTCATGGTCGTCTTCTACGGTACGTCATGTTTGCGTCTACCTACGCCATATCCTACTCCTCGTTTCGACTAGGCAATGTGCCCAAGCTGCAGCCCGAGCTCTTCAGTGCAATGGGCCTCCACCTCTCGGAGAAGGCGTCGACGTACTTTATGATGATCTTGGTACTGTCCTTGCATGATTGCTCTTGTCCTCTTGTCCTCAAGCGGTCCTAGGTGTGCTTGCGCGGTCTCGACTCGGCGCTGCCATTTGGCACCGGCGTCCTCGTCGGCGCCGTGTACCAGACGACGCCGCTCTCCAAGTTTCGCCTCCCGGGCTTCCTCGTATGGTTTTTCGAGGTACAACGTGCTTGCGCAGCTCTCTCTGAGGCGCGCGGTAGCTCTTTGCCTCGGTGTTTGCTGTCGTACCCATGAGTGTGGCCGCGCAGCAGCGCCAGCGCCAGCTCCAAGAAGCGCAGCGCCGCCACGCCCCCGCGGTACATTCCTTTCTGTTGGTGGTCCGCGACTAACTTGAATGATTAGCCAAACGGACAAGGGTTCCGGGACCAGCTCTTGCCAGGCATGGGCGGTGGCATGCCCATGCCGGTGGCGGTACACGCTTCGATTCTCGGCATTGCCGTCTTTATTCTGACATATGCTAGGCGCCTCCATCCGACGCGGCCATCGAGACGCTCACAGTAATTGCAATTTTCAATGTTTCAAGTCGAATTCACGCGTCTACTTAGTCGCTCGGGTTTGAACGGGACCAAGCGATTGCGGCGCTGCGTGCGGCCGACAACAACGTGGAAGCCGCGGCCAACCGCCTGCTCAACGGCATGTAACCCACACCCAACAAGCTGTCTTTCATTCAAAAGACATTTTTCCATCGTCGTCCGTGGACTACAAGCTCGCGTCCTTGCTCAGAAAGTCCTCGACAGCGTGTTCGATCCAAACGGATTCGGTCGCGGCCTCCAGCTCGGTCTTCTGACGCAGCTGCAGCGCCATGCGTTCGTCCATTTGCTGCTTTTGGAGAGCTTCTACTTCTTGGCTCTGCAGCAGCTGCCGCGCGCCATTCGCCGGCGCGCCATTGCCACTTCGCTCGTGCTTGTGCTTCTCAGCGAGCGCAGTCTTCTCGAACGCTTCCTTCTCGGCAAGAGCCACGATCGCAAAGGCTTGCTTCTCCTGCAGCGCGGTGAGCTCGTGCGCGTGCTGCTGCGCGAGGGCCTTGGTGCGAAACTCCCACACCTTGGCCATCGCCGCGGCTTCAAACGCGTGGCGGGTCGTGGTGCTCGGTGACAGCGGCGTCAACGACACTTCGATAACTTCTTCGTGGAGGGTGTGCTTTTGGTGGATGGCAGCCCACTCGCCTTCTTGCTTGAGCTGCAGCGCAGTGCACTCGGACGCGTGCTTGACATGCAGCGGCTGGAGCGAGTAGTGCTCCCGCAGCGCATCCCAGTTCATCTCGGCTTCGTTCTTGACCATGGTGCTGTTGTTCGTGCAAGACACAAGTGACCGTTGCCACCGCGTACGCACAGAAAGGACGTCCCTTCCCACATCGTATTAATTCACAGAGGGTCGTTGGTTCAACGGGTGCTACGCCGGGTCGGTGGCGAGTAGCGATGGGCTACGGCACCCCTCGTAGGCTGCATGGAAGAGGGCCGAGCTCGCCGGGCCTCGAACCTCTGGTTGTATCCAGTCGGTCGAACCAAAAGATTTTTGTCGAAGCCAACGCCGGCTAACCGCCCATGATACTAGAGCCAATGCCGTGGCTGTATCAGACACCCAAACGGCTCGGTTCGGCTCGGCTTGCCTTGAAGCCGAGCCGCGAAAGCGGTGCTCAACCGACCAAGCCGTCACCTCCACGGCTCGAGCCAAACCGTAAAGCGTCTCTGTCGCGAAGGGTCGGGCTTAGTAGACGCATGTGACGCTGCTGCGTCAACCGAGTGCGATTAACACGACCGACTAAATACGAGCTTTGCGATTATCGGCGCGGTTCGATGCTACTAGCTATGTGCGCTGCAGCCAGTGCACGACGGCGATCCCGACCAGCCTATCTCAAAGGGACGTTGGAGTTGACAGAGGAGACGCGCATTAACGTACGCAAGGACGAGGTAGAGCGCCATGGTCTCGAGGCTTTCTTGGTACTGGATCGCCGGGGCGGTGGCGAGAGGCAAGACTAGACCAAGACGGAGTGATGCAACCTAGTGTCCAGATGACGCGGAGAGGTACTTTCGCCGATATGGTTGAGAGCGACGCGGACGACGCCGCCGTACTCGCGCATGAGCTGCAGCGTGCTCAAGAGGCGGTCACCTGTCTCGTACGATACAAAGACACTTGGCACAAAGACGCTGGACGAGTTGCCATTGTCAGGCACCATGCGAATGGCCCACGACCTGTCGTAAGGAATGGGGCGATGCTAGGCGGGATGATGGACTACTCGTTGCGCGGGCGTGGGTAGTTGTCCATAACGATCACAGCTTTGGCGTGAGCGCGCTGCGCTTGCAGTATCTTGAACGCAAAGTTGCAGCCGCCTCGCTGCACCAAGGCGACTTTACCCGTGAGGTCCTGCCGCAGCGGCCGGCAGCCGTCGAGTGGCCGCGCTAGACATGCACGCACGTGTAGCTTCATGCAGGTGTAGCACGGCGTTCGTACCTGCCACGAGCTCGAGGCCGCTGTACTCGTCTGCGTTGCCCACGCGTCGACCAAACCGGGCATGGCTACCAAGGTGGCATGAGCGACGCGGATGATACGAGGCCGAATGTACATGTGGCGCAGCGTCGCACAGCATGGCCTACACGCATGCAGCATGAGCGTCTGCCTACGCGCATGGCCGAGCGTACTCTTGGACGACAAGCGCCGACGTCAGCGTCAGGAGGACCGCGACGACGGCGACGAGCATCGATCGCATCGCTTGCATCGCTTGCCTGTCGGTCGCCTCGTGGCGTCTATCGCAATTGTCCGGATACACATGCTTCCGGATAATCGATGTGGGATATCGGTGGGCGAACGTGTGAAATAGCACGGGAGTGAAAAACCCTTTCCCACGGCAGCCGCTGCGGCGCGTATCCGGAACCATCCGGATTTTGCGGACGGCGACCACAATCCCATTTTCGCGACCAAGACGACAACGAAGATGCTGCATGCGACGATGCTCCTCCGCCGCCATGGCCTGCGCGCCCGGCGCTTCTGCAGCGCGGCGCCGACACCGACACCGACGACGCTCACGATCGGCGACGTCCTCGCCGAGCGCGAGAAGGTCTTTGCGAACCTCGACACGGCGTCGGCCGGCGAGATCCACCCGCACTTTGACCGGTGGCAGTCGATCCAGCACGACGTAGGCACGACGCCGCATCGACCTGCCTCAGCACCTGCGCACGTAGGCGCCTGTCCACAGCGCGGTGGATCTCATGGTCCAGCGCAACATTGGCTCGCTCATTGTGACGCAAGGTACCTTCGACGACGCATCTGTGCACACGCATGTTCATGATGGTATTAGAGGGTCATGGCATCGTGGGCATCGTCACGGAGCGCGATGTGATGAAGAAGATGGCGCCGCATGACGACGACGAAAAGTCGGCCTCGCACATTGTGCAGGACATCATGTCGAACCACATTCTATGCATTGACCCGTCGACGACCGTCATGGAGTACGTCTTCATGTCGCGCAAAGATGATGATTCTGATGATGAGGATGGTAGAGCCTTTGCGACGATGACCAAGGAAAACATTCGCCACCTCGCCGTCATCCACACGGACATGAAGCAGACGGTCACGAAGGGCCTCGTCCCCATCGATGCGATGCGTAGCGTCCTCTCGATCAAGGTGCGTTTTGCCTCTTTGCGCTGTGCGAATGCCACGTCATGCACCTCACGAACGTCGCGTAGGACATTCTCAAGGAATATGCCAACGACGCGGCCAAGAAGAAGGCGAGCCTCGTGCCCGAAGGCGCCGAGGTGGCGGTGCCGACGCCGCCGCCGACGACCGACGCCAAGCCCGTTGCGGACGCCACGCCTGTCGCGAGTACGTTGCCACGCCTCTCGCATCTCGCATCTCATGTGTTGCTTGTAGTCACCGCGGGCTCGCTCCTCCGCAAGAAGCATGAAAAGGTCAAGCTCATTCTCAACACGCGCATTGAGGACAGCGTGTCGGTCGCCGAAGCGGTTCGGGAGATGGTAGTGTGCACGCACAATCGTATGGACAATATTGTTTATATAGCTATGTACTAACTAGGCCCGTCGCAACTTTGGCGCGGTCCTCGTCATGGACGACGAACTCCACGTCAAGGGCATCTTCACCGAGCGCGACTACTTGACCAAGGTGCTCCACCCCAAGCTCAACGCCCACGACGTGCTTGTCAAAGACCTCTGCTCGAAAGGGGTCTTCACGCTCAAGAGCGACGCGACGCTCGAGACGTGCGTCCACGAAGCTGCTATCCAGTACCGTTTCCTGGCTAAAGTAGCCCAAGTGGACACAGTGGATTAGGAACTTCCGCCACCTGCCGGTCGTCGACGCCAAGGACGACATTGTCGGCGTCCTCTCGGTCAAGGACGTGGTGCGTGAGATCTCGCGCGAATTCAAAAGCACGCAAGGCTACTGGCTCATGGAGTATTTCAAGTCGAAAATGGAGCCCAAGACCGAAGCGCCCAAGGTCGATGCTGTCCCGCCGCCGCTTGTCGAGCCGCCCGCCGACGCAGCCAAGGAGACGCCCAAGCCCAGCGTCTAATTGCACCACCACCGCCTAACCTCGATCGAGTCGGTTCATGTCGGTTCGTGCTGCTCGTGTTAAAAAGCAATAGAAAACATTTCAAGCGCTCGATTCCATTCGAGCAGTCCACCACCATCGGCATGGCGCAGCGCGAGGTCTGCGTCGGCTGCGACCGCCCGCCCTGCGTGTGCTACTGCGACCTGCTTCCGTCGCCGCGCCTCTCGCCGGGCTTCCGTATCCACTGCATACAGCACCCGAACGAGGCCAAGCGCAAGGCGCTCTCGAGCGTCCCGCTGCTCGCCCATGCGCTCGACGACTTTACACTCGAGGTCGGCGACGTGGCCTCGGCACCGCCATCCGAATATCGTCGTCAGCGCGTGCTGCTCTTCCCAGGGCCGACTGCGACGCTCCTCATGCCGCGTGACATTGCCAACCTCGAACTCGTCGTCGTCGATGGCACGTGGAAAGAGGCCAAGCGCATTGTGCATCAGAGCGAGAGCTTGCAGGCGCTGCCGCGGGTCTTGATTGCGTGCGAGGGCGCAAGTTTGTACGGCACGCTGCGCAAGGAGCCAAAGGACGGCTGCGTCTCGACGCTCGAGGCCGTCGCGCAAGCCATCACGGTGCTCACGGGCAATGCGTCTATCCAAGCCTCGCTCGTGTCGCTCTTTGGAGCGGTCGTCGGCCGGCAAACTGCGTACGTCAACGCAGGCAAGCAAGCCAATGCCGCCTACTACAACGGCGTGCCCAAGCCCGAGCGCGCGCGGACCCTCGCCCGCGCCAACGTCGGGCACGAGGCAATCGACGCCGACGTCCGCGAATATGTTTTGTACGCGACCGAGACACGCCTCGATGGCTCGAGCCGCTGGCACATTGTCGACGACGCGTTTGTGAGCACTTACAGCGCGGCCATGCGCCTCTGCGTCGAGCGCAACGTCGGGCGCAAGCGAGGCGACCGGGTCGGTGTCGTGCTCAAAGCCACCTTTGACAAACGCCAGCGTTGTCCGTCAACCGAAGCTCCGCGTGTCGATACTTAAAGAAACGAGAAGTTATACTTACATCCTCCTTGGCTATCCCGCTCTACGCCACAAGGTCGGTCTATGATGAAGACTGCCAAGTGTCGAGCTCGATCGAGACGACTGTGGCCACGAGACAGGCGGGGGCCGACACCAGTGACAGGCTCCCTGGAGCCTTGCAGAGGCAGTGGGCATTGGCAGGGGCGCTGGCGAGGTCTCTCACGGGAAGTGAAGCATCTTGACCCGAGACAAAGGGCAACTGCATCGCGAAGCACGAGGAGTTTGGGCCAAAACATACATGCATATATCTATTACTTAGTGTCCTGTCAAATGTGGAAATCCAGCGCAGAGCGTCAATGTCGATCGCGCGTTTACTCGGCCGCGGGCGTCGCCTCTTCGTCCACCTTGATGTAGCGCGGGACGCCAAACTGGCCATCGGGCTGGGGCCAGAGCCACTGCTTCCAGACGACCGGGCGGATCTTTTCATTCTTCTCGTCGAGCTCGAGCGTCGTCGACGTCTTCATGGCAGCGAGCAGCGTCGGGTAGTCGCGGTGCGCGGCAAAGACGGCCTGGAAGCTGCCGATAAAGGCGAGCGGCACGTAGCCATCAATGTCCATGTGCTGGCGCAAGAAGGTATCGCGCACGAGGTTGTCGGCGCTCAAGTAAAACTCACTACACAGCAAATTCTCCATGAACATCCTCGGTTCCGACAACTGGCCATGACGTACATCTGCTGCTTGGCGTACTCGGCCGTGGCCTTGGTGTCGTTGTACGCAATGAACGTGCCGTTGGCGTAAAAGCCGTTCTCACGGCGGCCACCGCGGCCACCCTTGCCACGGCCACCGCTGGGCGCGCGGCGCGGCGCACCCGACTTGTCTATGCATGCATCAAAACGTGAGTTCGCCGGCCACGGCAGCGATGCAAGGTCCGTACCAGCGACAGGCTTCTTCTTGTTGGCGGTGGCCGTCGGCGACGACGGTTCGCCGGCCGTCTGCGCGACTTCTTCGGCCTCGACGAGGCGGTACTTGACGTTGGTCGCGGCCATCTTTGCTCGGCCGATTTTTTGAAAAACTGAAGTATTGGCACCAGTCAAATGCCGATCCCTAGCCCCAGCGTATTTTTTTACGCGGCGGGCCAATTCCATACAAATATGTAGATGTCGCTTCAACGGGCACGAATAAAATGTGACCACCGAATCTCGCATGATGGCGGCCGACCTGCGCATCAATGACCGCCGTCTCGCGGATGCCCAGCGTCGTGGGCGGCGGTTCGAACCTCACGAGCTGCCTGCCTTGCGACCACTGCCAGCGCCGCTGGTGTAGTATAGTGCGGCCAACGTATTGGCGTGAAATGCGTATCGCAGTGGGACTTGAAGTGCTTGAAAAAGGCGCCAAGCCGTGCCAGTCCGTGGCCAGCCGAGGGTGGACTGTCAAGTTGCCGTTGTCGGCAAGTGATTCGACGTAGTGCTTTGCGACTAGGAACGATCTCGAAAAAGCTGGTCGTCGTACGGCTAATGTATATGTAGTCTGGTGCGAGATGTTTCTGGAAATTGCACCAGATCTGGGTCAGTTTTGAATTACTACACACCACGCCAGGAGCATACTAGTACGATGCGCACTTCTTAGACGAGCGGGTACGACGCGCAGTCGGCGAGGCCGCACATGTTCTTGTCGCGGGCAATGTGAAAGTAGCCGTCCATGCCCCACGTCGCCGACCAGCTAGAACGCACACATGTGGTCATCTCGACCAGACATCGATACCAGATAGCTACCTGTTTTTCACAATCCAGTACGGAGCGCCAGACGTGGTCGTGTTGTAGCCGACCGCCAAGACCGCTATTAGCGCAGACGTCAAGTTGGCAAATTTCCAAAGAGGGATGTGTACCGTGGTTGACGTCGGCTTCGCCCGACTTGCATTCCGTCGAGTCGTACACGCCATCCTTGTAGAAGCGAAAGTCGGACGACACTTGGAACGCAATGCTGACGGGGCCCACGGTCCCCACGGCCGTTTTCTGCAAGTTTCAATGTATCAACCTCCATTTCGTCGTCTCGAGATCGTCGCACCAGCTGCGTCTCGTCGCGCGACGTGATGTTGACCACGTCGAGGACGCGGACACCAACGTTAGTCGGGTCAAACTTGCACGTCTCGTCCTTGGCGTGGTAGGGGTAGGTCTACGCCCCATCCATGTCACTGTGGGCCGGATCAAAGCAGTTACCGCGCCCGTGTCCAAGCCGCCGTTGTACTTGATGTACTCGAAGGCATGCGAGGGGAGACCGCCGTTGCAGCCGTGGTTGTCGAACGCACCGGCGCAGTCGACGAGGTTTTGCTCCGAGAGCAAAATGCGCTTCCCGTGCGTGAGCAAGTTGTGGCTCTCGAGACAGCCCGTGCTCGAAAACGTCCTACATACCAGGCGTGAAATGTCAACCCGACTTGCGTTGAAGCGTGTACCAGCACGACCCGCACTTGCCTTGGTTCTTGACCGGCGAGACAGCGTCCACGCGGCGCCAGTCGATGGCCGCCGGCGCATCCGACGTTGCCATCACGCTACACGTCCATATGCAAAGACACGACGCTGCAAGCAGACGTACAGAGAGCGATGGGTGGCCGAGCAGTCTTGCGGTGTGGCGCCGAGGTAGTCGGCTTGGAACTCGGCCCTAACGAGTTCTTATAGGCATCAAGCTTTGCACGACAGACGACGTACCACGTTGAATCGGCAAAGCCGTTGAGTGCGAGCGAGTACGGACGATCGCCACGCGCGTTGTGGGCAGCGACGAGCTCGGCGTTGGCGACAAACGCAGCAAAGCGCGCTGCTTCCTTCTCGTTCCGGCCGTAGGCGACGTCAAATGCGCTCTTCCAGTGCATAAAGAGCTGGCGACGACTTGTCTCGGACGTTGGCACCTACAACAGCACATCGTTAACGCATTGCAAATTGAGATGTGAGCTCGAGACCGAGGTCAGCGCCCAGTGCGTGGGACCACCCGACTCGCATTCAAAGATGGCCGGCGGCAGCTGCTTGGCTTCGTCTTCGTTGTAGCACGTGGACGCGACGGCGGCCGACTTGCACCAGTAGCACGGCTTGTCGCCCTCCTTGGCCTTGCGGCACGCGCTCTCCGAGTTGAAGAAATGGCACCCATGACTCGGCGACGTCTCGGTTGTCTTGCAGGCAAAGACGCCGGGCGGGAGCTTGCTTGCCTCGTCGGCTTCGTAGCAGGCGCTCGCGACTGCCGCCGACGCGCACCATGCGCAGGACGCATGCGCATGCGTGCATGCCTCCTCGTTCTTGAAGAGGTGGCATGGACCTCCGCTTTTGGTGCTGGTCACCTCCGCCGCCGGCCATGTCTCGTGTTCTGGGGCGTCATTCGTGATGTCAGCGAGACTCGTCACGTCATGGGCAAACACGGGCGACCGACCGTGCTCGCAGTCAAAGATGGCCGGCGGCAGCTGCTTGGCCTCGGCCTCGTTGTAGCACGTCGACTTGACCGCCGCCGACTCGCACCAGTAGCACGGCTTGCCGCCCTCCTTGCTCTGGCGACACGCAGATTCCGTGTTGAAGAAATGGCAACCGTGGTTGGGCGCGGGGCGGGCGCACTCAAAGATCGACGGCGGCAGCTGGCTTGCCTCGTCGGGGTCGTAGCACGAGCTCTTGACCGCCGCCGACTTGCACCACGCGCAGTCGAGCTGAAGGCAGCTGGCCTCGGTGGCATGGTCATGGCAGACGTTGGCCACCGCCGTCGTCATCGTCATCATCGCAAGCAGAAGCGCACTCGTCGTCAGGACCTTCATCGTCGGCTGCTTG